TTTCAAATAAATTGGTTGCTTGAATACCAATTTAATTTAATTACGAATATAATCGCTTTTGACGTCCACGCTTGTAGTTGTGCTTTATATATATTAAGGGCAATGTCAACCCATTCATTACAATTGTTATTGTTTCTTTCCAAGCGCCTTTCTATACCTCAAACAAATTTTAGGCCAGATCTGAAAGGGTAACTCTAAATTGCTCTGCCATTATGTTCTTTGACGTTTAGTACGTATCAATTGCATTCACTCGAATCACTTTGGCACTCGTTTAAATCTCCACACACCCACACTAATTTAAAGGACGTCGCGACTTTAAAAAGTTATAATTTTGTTCTAATTAATTTCGATTATTCTCTTCAATAGATACATATAAATTTAAATTTGTTTTATTTTGCGACATAGTTGACAAAATTATAAGCATTTAAAGATAAAATTGCTGTCATTCAGCTAATTTTAGAAGCCCATGGTGTTTTTAGTTTTCATCCAAATTAACTTTCCATAATGTCGTTGGAATTCTTTAAAATAGGACTATCAATATAAGAAAGTTAAAATTAGGAAGTGTCTTGACCTTTAAAACGCTAATTGTTATCATCTAAAAGGGTCAATCTGATCTCAAGCTGATTATATTTTTAGAGTGGGAGATGAAAGATAGAAAACTTATCGGGTGTCAGATTACGTGTTGTAGCATTTGCAGGTGACGCAAGTGGAGCTCTTTTGTCTGACATTTTATAGACAGGTTGGCGTTTTTGAAGTCATAGGAGTCACAGGGTCATCCTTACGCACACTCTCTGACTCTTTCTATGCTATTTTTTCTCTGCTCTCCCTTTCTAACTTCAAAACTTATTTTTCACGATGTTTTCCGTGTCGATTGTGTATATTCTGCTTTTTCAGTTTTGGTTTCCCACATGAAAAATAGGATTTGCCTCAGGTGGTAAAGGGAATTTTTTGAAAGAGAAAAAGCCAAGCTGACAATTGCGAGGAGAAGACAAAAATATTACCCAGAGGAAGTGAAAGCAACTCAAAGCTTTATTGCTTGACATTCCGTGTGTGATGAGACATAAAAATATGAAAAACGTTTTGATATTAATCCTATTATTACCCTCGGTGATATTCCGCAAGAGGATTCTTAGAGCTTCAAGCAAAATTATCATCGCTTGCTTGAGTAAAATAAAAAAATAAGATGTAAAAATTATTTATGCTATTTATTTATTTTTATCATCAGGAAAGAAATTAATAAATAAATTTTATGAAATAAGAAAGGAAGAAAAGAAAATATCGGGGATTTTTTTTTATCGAATTGACATTATTACACTTCAACAAAACGCTTCATTAAACCAAATGATGAACATTTAAGTTTTGAAAATAAATAAGAAATTACAAAGTAGCATATCTATTTTTGGCATTAATAAAAAAATACAGCGGAAACAATCGTATGAAATTTTCGAAATAAATGAAATAATTCTTTTTCAAACTTTTTTTAATAAAATGAGTCAGTACGATTGCAAAGTCGATTGATCTTGAATTCTTTGTTGAAATCTGTGTCAGGAGCAAAAGACGATCACGCAATTAACACACACGTCCTTTCATGACAGAAACAAATCATTTTTCACCTAACTCAAATTTGCATAATTAGATCATCTAGCCCATCTAGTCAAACCGCTCTCAAAACACACAATCGGTTTTTGTTTTGTTGCGCGTGATCACCTTGACTCTCATTTTTTTTTATTCCAAGACGAATTCCATCAGCAGTAATTTGAATATTATTACTCACAAGACTCACAAGTATTGAAAACATGTTCAGTGCATTATTAAGTACCTCTGACAATTCCATTTATCTCAAGCTGCACTCCATATTTCCATAAAATAATATAAATACCGCGACGTAATCGGACCGCGGCTACTCTTTTTGACAAAATTGCTCCGACCTTGGTAATAAGAAACTACTCTCTCGCAGCAATTACTCAATTTGACACACACGAGACTTTGACTTACATATTTTTTGTCAAATTTGGCACACGGTAGTAAAATAATATATATTGCTTCTCCTCGGTGTCGTAAATCCAGAACTCAGGAGTTACTAATGCCATTAAAAAGTGAAGTAATCGTTCCCTAAAAAGCATCATTATCAATATTTTTCGTCAATTATATAAATAATTCATCTGCACGTCTCAAGGAAGTTACACTTCGTGCAAAGTCATGCATAAATTTTTTTGAATTACTTTTCAAGGCTGAGTTCACAGATAAACCGGAGTGTTTTTGAAGAAAGAAAACCAGTCCTCTAAATCTTCATCAATGTGCGCGTTTTAAAGTTGATATCAAAATAAATGCTCAATAAAAGCTTCTTAATATTGGACAAAGAGAGAGGCATGAGGTTTAAAAATATGGCTATAAATCATGAAGCAACTTCAGCCACCCACAATAATTGTGGAAAAAAAACGAATTTAAAAATACTGATTTTCTCCTCTTTGTGAAATTCTTAATTGGAGACCTAAACTCGAGTCTTACTAGATGATTGGACCCTAAAAAATTTGATTCTTCTATATTTTTCGAAACATTTTTAAATGCTGCTTTATCTAATCTTTTTCCATTTTATTTTTCTATTTCAATTCTTCAAAAATCAGTTCCATTTTATTTCCATTTTTATTTCAGCCCATAATTCTAAAAGTAGTTGACATCGACTTTAATCTGACGGTCCCATCCTAATTGCGAATCTGCCTTGTTATATTAATTTCCTTGAGGCTAATTTTCAACGTTTCTTCCATTAGAGTCGTGGCCGACGTGGATGGACGATCCGGCTAAAATTTCACACACACGCCGACCTTGCTTCTTTTTTACCAGGCGGCGCAATAATAATAAATTAAGCATGTGGGCCTTCGCCAAATCTCTCCTATGAAACATTTATTTCTACCAAAACCAAAACGAGTCCAATAAAAAAAATAATAATTTCAACAATCATGATCAAGATAATTATTTGTAATGGTGGATTAATGAAATAAAAATTGCTCCGATTCTCGCCCTCAGCAAAAATGATCCCACGCCTGACGTAAGCGTGCGAAATATTCCGGCCATGGTCAATGTTAGACCAGTGCTCAAATCTGGCACAAGGGCTGGGGTCAAAAGGTCCCTTTATTTGGCAGGTACTTTTGATGAATTTACTTTTTGTTATTAATAATTATATGATGGCTATGTTTGTCTTGATGGGCAAACCAGCATAAGAATATATGAAAAAAAAAAAAATTAAATTACTTATCTTGCAAAAGAAAATTTTTGTATGTCAAGATTCTCATTTGCGAATTTCACCATCCGAAATGAGGAGTTTTCAAAACGGTAGTTATATACAGCGGAGAGCAGCCAAACAAGTACAGGGGATTACGTGAGTGGCTTTCATTGATCCGGGACGAATTTCGAATTATACGCTTTTCGTTTCAAGACTGCAAGATTGGAATTGGTGTTGAAAGTTCGCGGGTGATTGCGGATAATTGCAATTAAATTTATCTTAACACCGCACCACTTTCTTAATCTGCATCAGCCTTTTAAGGTGATGGCTGTGTTAACGGAGACAAAACGGTTGAAAATCGAGGTTAATAGCGTGACGGAATTCAGCAAAATTAATTGTTTTATGTTAATTTAATCTGTTCATAAAAAATTGGCATAAAAAGATTGTTCTTTAAACATAATTTTATTTTTATATTTAAATTTTAATTTGTTTTTCAATTGTCTTAATTAATAGAAAATATTTAAATTACCTTGAATTTCAGTTATTTTTTTAAGGTTGAATTGTTTAACTTAAAAACTTTAGACGAAAGCAATTAAATTTAAAAAAAAAAATCCATAGCAAGAAACAGAGAAAATATTGAATAATCTCAACTTTTTAAAGTGGAAAATTACTTTGAACTCAATAATTGTTTCCATTTGAAACTCATTTTCCCAACAACTATATATAATTACAAAACAGAATTCAAAATATGCATCTTCTTTCCTTCTCAAGTGTCTATAAACGTAAAGAAAGTAAGTCGTCTGATCTTCTCGCATAACATTACTACTTCCTTCTCAGAGTTATTCTGATCTTCTTTATTTCTTTCTTTCCTTTTTCTCTCTCTGGAGAGCACAACAAACGGTGGCACAATTATACACATGTACATTTAACCAAAGCTAGCCAAGTGGCATGCACTACTAACTCTTTATAAGAGTGTTAGGTTCGCGGCTCTAATGTCAAGTTCACCTCCTTGATCACCACCAAAGCCTCAATTATCGCATTTCATTTGCATTTATAATTGCGTCTCAAGCCTCTCACCGCGCTTGTAAATCATCAGTTTAGTAATGAAATCACCTTTTATGTCTAACTCGTTGAAAGTCGTGAGCTTTTCAGTTTACAATTTTTCGCCTTGAAAATATGGGAGGATTTTAAATAATTTAAATGTCAATATGGTAATTAGGCATGGGAAAAATAAGTCAATTTTTTATCATTACTTTCAAGGTTGCCAATCATAATTTTTAGCACGAATTATATGTTATTTTGAGCAAAAAGCAAATTTAATTTCACCTCTTTCATAAAAATAATCATAAATCCATTATTTTAGCTTTGAAAATTATCAAAAATTTCGTAAAACGATATCATTCAATATTCTTATAACTATATTTTCTTTTAAATTTATGATTCATAGTGACAAATTCCTGGCCCTCTTTTCACCAAAGAGCTCGTTTGACCAAATAACTTTCATTTATCAAACTCCACTTTAGAGTACTGCAGGTGTTATGTATTGCACTAACCGTTCTCAATAATAAGAATAATCAATTTTTCTTAAAATTTGTACCATTTTTAATTAATTGATTGCTTTAAATAATAAAAATATTGTAAAATTTGTAAAAATGATATTTTTGCCTTGAATTAATTTTCCCCAATGTAATTATTTATTATTATATTAATTTTTAAGATGATTAAGTAAATTATTCCGTAATAATGAGGACTTTTTTGAAAATTTTAATTTTGTTCTGACCTTCGTCGTCGTCGTACGTAACATGTGAGCTGATTTGCTCAGACTCGTCCGAGTCGAGGGCCTCGCCCGTGTCCTGCTCGGCCGAATTGCCGACCGGTGGCGGCGGCGTCGTCACCGGCGTTAGGTGCGGGAACAGCTTTTTCTGCAGGTACTGTGCCAGGATCTGCTGTGTGATTCTGTTCTGGCGCGCGATTTCCGACCCTACAACCACACAGAGCACACACAGAACCATTTAAAAAATTTATCTCTTTTTCTGAACTATTTATATCAATTAATTTTATGTACATAAATTTAAATTAATGTGCATGACATTTGTCGTTTTGGTTCATAGCAGAGTGATTTAGTATTTACAACCAGCCGCGTATAGCACACCTTTTTGCCCGATTGATGTTTTGACCGGTTGAGTAAATCAGGATAAAAGCCAAAACAAAATCACCTTGAAGAGACAGCAGCAGGTGTGGTCGTCAAGCTCTTAAATTCGAGTCGTTTTTGGTATGTTAAATTTCATATGTGCTCGAATTCGCCGCATGACTGAAGAGGAAAACGCGTTCCAGAGATACACACTTCCGTAATTTGAATACTTCTTGTTCGGCAGAATCCCCATTTTTTTATGAGTATTTTTTAATGAAAAAATTTGATAATATTCAATATTCATCTCTATATGTGATATCAGATGTGATGAATAAAATTTACTTATTGTTAGCATTGAAACAATCAAATATTTTTGAAAAATAGACTTCGTTAAAAAAATTGCAGTACGATTCTATATTATTTTATTTTTATCGATTTATTGTTATTATGACTTTTTCCCCCTAAATTTTTGAAGGATTTGCGCTAGAGAAGTTTCAACTCTGCTAATTTTTGTTTAAAAACAGTACATAGTACATATTAAAAAGCATTGAATTTATGCATAAGAAATCAATGTATACGTATTAAAAGTTTTTGAAGGTTTCTATAACTTTAAATTTACATTAATTAAAATTTAAATAATATTCATAATCACATCCGCTTCACTTATTTTAATATTTTTCTTTGAAGTGATAAAATTGTGCACGATTTATCCCTGCTTTTTCAATGCAATACAGTCTCTCTCTCTCTCTTATAATATTATGTATTTATTTTTTATTCATGCATCTTCCCCGACCGGTCACGAGCCTCGTCGTCGGCATAAAAGGTCCGATTGCGAAGGCGTGTGAGCATTCTCATTTATTATGTATCAAAGACCTCGCCTTGCCTGCGCTGTTTTTTTCTCTTTTTCTTTTCAGAATCGCCGCAGACACAATGGAATAAAGTAATGCACAATTCACCACTTGCACTCGTCGCTCTGGAAAAATAAAACGAAAATTCAAGGGCGACGTGCTCCTTAATTGCTGACACGAAAATAAAGCGGCGCTGAGAAGTAGGAAGGCGGAGGAGCAAAGAGACGATCGAGGTGCAAGAAGTTTGCTTTGTCAATCGATCTCAGCACATGGAACGTTCCGCCCTTGCTCATTAATGGACCTGCAGGAAAATGCAGCATGAGATTTTTCGAGATAAAAAAAGTCCCCAACTAATTAATTTATATCATCTTGTGATTTTTAATTTTTAATATTACTTAAAATGGAAGTTTGATTTACTTATTTTTTTTTTGATTGTGCCTTTTTTTCTGCATTACTTTTAAATCAATTTTCATGCAGCTAGAAAATAGAATTAATTTCATTTTATTGCTTTTCAAACGGTGGAAATTCATTAATATTTAGCTTTTTCTCAGAACCAGTTGGTTTAAAAAATATTTATTGTAATTTATTGTTTTTAAGTAACAAGGATAACGATGATACTCACCTTCCCTTCAGTATATGTTTTGAAAACCTACAAAGTCTGTTAAAAATTCTTAAAATCAGAGGAAAGTAATTTGCTAAAATGATGTCCGTCAAGTATCCAACTAATTTTTCAAATATTTTTTAATGAAATAATATAAAAAAAAAATAGCTAAATAAGGGTTTCTAACTTTGAAATCAGTAATATTCTCTATCATTTTAGATGAAAAGGACGAGTATAATGTCAGAATTAAATTTATGTTATTAATTTCATTTATTCCCTCTTTGAACAACAAAAATGATAGATTGCGATCTCAAATGTTTTTGAGAGCGTGTGAGAATAGAACAATTTCATCCAAAAGGGCAAACAAATTAATCACAAACGCAGAGAGCGCGTTTTATACCGTGTGCAATGTGTTTAGGGCCATTTATCAACCGCATTGTTATTATTACTTGTGTGCGGCGGTGAAACGCATGACAACAGACCTCAATCATCATTTCGCGATGATTTTTCTTTTTTGTTCACCGGCGCAAGGTCCGATTGCAAAATAGACCGCACACGGGATAATTGAATGGGACGAGATCAAATTTCTCAATTGTTCCATTTTCCCGCGTGCGACTTCAGCAAACACAACTCGAGCTGCGGTCTCGGCTACGAGTGTAAATTCTAATAAGGTTTTATGGATAATGAGATCATGCGCTTGACTCGCGAACTTTCCAGCAGCTGCTCTCGGCGCCCACAGCACATTATTGTCAGCAGGTCCGGCAGTTAATTCAGACAAAAGGAGATGAGAGAGAAACTTTTGCCACTCACCGAATTTGCAAAATTTCGCAATAAAAATGCGTCAACCTGATCATATTGTATTTAAATTTTTTTCTCTTTGAATGAAGATCCGCTTTCTTTTTAATCGATAAATTATTCAGCTTTAGAATGACGATAAATTATTTTATTGAATGAGTCGTTGATTTACTTTATTGCAAAAATTAATTTAATAGATTTTTACTATAAATTTTTTTTAAATGGAACCATTGAAAATCCTTAACAGAGTAAGGAATATTCATTAAAAATATTTAAGTGTTCTATTTTTATTCAAAAGTTAAAAACCATGAAAAAACAAGCCATATTGTCAAAAACATTTGTTTTTTGAAGTTCCTGACACCTGTAGGATTTTTTTCCTATCTGACCACCTGCTTATCTGCTTCAGTTTCTTTCATATCCACTTTATTTAAAATATAATTCCAAGTTTTATCTATAATTTTCTTTTATAAATAACACAAATAGATCCAACATAACAAATATCAAATTCATTTTTCTTAATTGATTCATTAGCAATTAAAGCTCATTCATGTGAACTATTCATTCTGAGGTTTCCATACGAGTCGTGTGAGATCACGCCGCGGGTAATTAATTACCCGTCCATCACTTTTGACCGAGACGGAAACGAAATCGGCGGTGAGCCAGCAGCAAGAGCAGCTTTCTTCCCAACACCTCTTCCTTCTTATCTGCTTTTTATAAACGTATACACACGTGTAAGTATACACCCGGTAACTGCACAAAAGTCATGACTCAAGCAAAGATTGATTTGTTTTTAACGAGAGTGTGTAAAAAATGTGATAGAGGCCAAATTTTTGCAGAGAAATGGAAATTCAGACCTTTTCCTCCTTCAAATTTTATTTATTATTAATGTTCAATAATTTATTTTGACTAATGGTCAGAAGAAATCGTACACAAAGTCATCAAGTCATCGATGAGATGCATTTTGTGGCTTTTCGGGTCACACTGGGCAAACCCGCAGCTGCGGATTAGAAATCGAAATTGCTTTCCTATTTTGACGATCAAATTTCTCTAATATGAGATTAGATAATGGAACCTTTGATCTAACATTGATTAGGCCAAGCCTATACTAATAACCGGAAGAGAATTCGTTTTTTTTTTTAAATAAAACTTATTATTTTTTTACATAAATTTTTATCCCGTTAAACTCAATTAGTCGAGTTCCTATATAAGTGTGGTTAGAGGATAGAAAGATATAGATAGGTGTGGTTTGATTAATTAAAATGATTGAAAGCTACAGGTTTTAAAAAGTTAGGTATATTTTGAGTTTTCAAGTCGCAGTAATAATGTGAGAATCTTATTAATTTGTGTTATCAACAAAAACGTAAACTAAAAATTTTAATTTTCCGTAGACTAGACTTAAAAAGGATGAGCAAAAATTATTTTTCTGGGACAAAGTGCACTATTTATGTTGAAAGAAATTTTTTTGTGCAGTTTTTAAATTTTAAAATTGACAAACTATTCTGAAATACCAAGACGATGAATTTTTTTTTGAAAAGAGAAAGAGACGCACTTCAAATTGTCTCCACATTCATCACGATTTAATTTGATGATTCGCATATTAAATAAACAGCCAAGTTCGCACGCGCCTATAATTTTAAGATTTGGTGACTTGGCACTTTATTTTTTTCCTTCCAAATTATTTTGCAATCTTTTTGTCAACAAAACGATGGATAGTGAGATCTAAAAGCAGAGACGTGACTTTTCTTAAAAGTAAACTAAAGCAATTTCCCTTCTTGCAAAACTATACTATAGACTCTCAAAATTCTTAGACCTATGAGGTGCTCACAAGGATTAATTTATATAATTTAGATGTAAATCGCCTTCCCAGCCAAAAACTGACATGGGCGTGACGCGATGGTCCGCGAGAAAAGTGGCGATCCTCCTAATGCGTTGTATGTTATTTTTTTTCACTTCGGCATCCGGCGCTTTCTTCTTTTCAATATCAGAGAGGGACGCCAAAAGTTACGAAATGTATAATAATGCTCCAGGAGAAATTTTTCTGATACGCAATAATTGTTGTTAAGTAACACGCTGCGTATTCCGCAGAACTATCATTGTTTGTTTAATTATTGAGAAATTTGTAATCTTAATTATGTGATGTCCGTTTGCCGTGCGAGACAAGGATGGTTTTTGATTAGGGGCCGAAGTGGAGAGTTGTCTTAAATATGCTAATTAATGCAATAAAAGTATCGCCAAGATTCATTAGCGGGCAGAAGAAATTTATGCAAAATAGCAGGCGGGAAGTGAGGTAATAAAGTAAAACCATCAGAGCGCACATTCGGCTGGGTCAATATGCAGATTTGGTTCAGAAAAGTTTCTAAATCGACGCACTGCATGCTAATTAATTTAATTTCACAGGTTGAATTGAATTTTAAAAGTTCTCAAGAGTATTGCGAGAATTAAATATAAAATTAAATGGAATGTCTTCCACAATTATAATAAACAAGTATACACTTTTTAGAAACGATTTCTCAGATTTCTTCGGAGTATCTTGATTTTTCTTTATAAATTTATGAAATAATTTAAAGTTACATAATATACAATTCCTCAGATTAATATTTATTTACAGCTAATTGATACTTTTTTTCAGAACAAATCTGATAAAAAAAATCACGTCTCGTTAATAAAAACATCGATGTTTATTTATGAGAGAGATCCATAATTGGGCCTGCAGAATTTCCCCAAACTTTTTTTGCAGTTGTTTGTAATTAGCGCGAATGCCAGGGCGTAATTTCCCCTTTAACGTCGTGTGTCAATTCGCCGCCCGGCTTTAGAAGTGACAGGTCGAAATTTAATGAACCGACGATTTAGCTACCTGAGTTTGAATCGCGGAGAGGTGAAAAACACACATGTGCAAGCACTCAGGTCAGTAAAAGTTGTTCCTCAATTAATATATCTCTCCGCTTTTTGTCTCTGGACTAATTAATCAAGATTTTAGAGAAAACACGGAATTCTGATTGAGAGACAATGGAATTGAATAATTGCGGGCGTAGAGAAAGGCAGGATTTTCGATTTTTAAACGAATTAATTTCGTCTTGCGGCGCAGCACCTGCATACTCCACCTGCATCGTACGTCGCATGCACATTTTTGATAACAAGGAAATCAGATTTGAAAGAGAAACAAAGGTTGACCTGCATTAGATAAAATTAATCATCAAGTTAAATTGCCCCAAGGTTTCAATAAATTCAGGTGCATATCTTCTTATAAATCTTGCTTTTTAATAAGCATTTTATTTTATCAAATATTAAGTGATATATTAAATTATGATAAAATTGAATAGAAGAAAATTCAAATACAAAAATATTTTTCTAATGACTAGAGTACGATAAACATATTAATAACAGTCATAAAAAAAACTATCTAAAAATCTGTATTTTTTATTTAAAGATGCTTTATTTTTTTAGGAATTTTCAACAAGATTTCAAAAGGTAATTGAATTTTTGCCATTTTGCTCCACAAAAACTTTAATCTAAAGTTCAACAACACGGACAACGAACTCTAAATTATTCAAGACTCCCCAGGTCCAGGCTTTTAGTAGCAAATAAAATTCACTCCAATTCCACCTGAGCCTTTCAGAGAGACTGTCCATCCATATTATCACTTTATTGCCGAGCAAAACAGCAGGACCACTTTTAAATTTGAATTTCAAAACGTCCCGCCAGCTTTCATTCTCGTTTGCAGAACGAAAAACATCGCATTCCAGATGAGAAAATTAGACCTGAGTGTATATAATTATAATTTGTGCCAATAATTTTCTCCAGATAAGATCGATCGACCTTGAATAAGAAAAAAAACGCTTTGTCTGGTCAACGGCTATTCACTTTTTAATGATACGATAATGATTTTTATACGGCCATTCCACCTCACTTTGGCTAGAAAAAGGTTGAGCGATTTGCCTTGGCGAAGAAGACCTGTATACAGGTTGCCAAGTTCGAGCCCAAGGGGCGCGGCAAAGGACGCTAAATAATAAAAAAATAAAAATAAACGTGTCACACGCGACTACTTTGCTTATTTTCAGCCAGATTGAAAATTATTTTCACGCGTCTCTTTACATTTTTAATCCGAGGAGCCGAGAGGATGAAGCTCGAAGCTTGTTTCGGCCGCTGCCAACTTTCTCTGCTAAAACTGCTGATGTATCTCATTTTTTACACGGTATATATAGAGATCTTGAACTCGTCGTCGCATTTGGTTTTGTTGAAAAGTTCGATAAAATCTACATTGATGGTAGAAAAAGCTAAAACTGTCTGAACGCTAAAAAATTATAATTTAAAAAGATTGATTTTTATATCATAGTGGAAAAATTATGGTTCTTTCAGTTTTCTAAAAAACTTATTTTTTTTTTTTAAATTATTTAATCTGAAATTGAGATTTATAACTTGTTGAACTCTCTTCCAAGGAATAGAGACTTATAAAAATATAGAAATTTAAGTTCAAATTTTCATTTCTTTTTTCACATTTCACACGCTAGTCATCTTTTCTAATCTATTTTTAAATCCTTCATTACAACTTCAATATTTTTAGCAACAATAACATCATTGATTATTTTAAAATGAAAGAGTAAATTGATTATCTAAACAAATTCTAATTTAAATTAGCTACAAAATTCTGATAATAGTTTATCATCCTATTGAAAGCCGAAACAATAAAGTCAAGACAGCTTGTATTCAGCCCATTGTTGAAAAAACTCTGTTCATCTTTACTACATAAAACTTAATTAAATATTTAGAGCATCGTAATTCTTGTGAAGGAATTAGAGTCTCTGTCAACTTGGCTTTAATTTTTTAAATTATTTTTTCCTCCATCTCCGGAGAGAGTAAAAAACTTGCTGGCTCTTCACTAAGAGGCAAAATTTCCAATTGTCTGCACTGATGAGACAAGGACCACCCGGGGGCAAAGAGATAATTTCATCAAACACTATTCAACGACCGAATTAATCTCACATCTCATTAACTCCTTTTTAAATACCAAACTTAAGTGCGTTTTTCTATGTAATGGCCAAACGAATATTTTTTGCGTGCTCTTGTCGTACTTATTCATTCCCGACGCACTCTTAATTCTTGTCCGAAGCACACAGATGAGAGAAAGTTGCATCTCTCTGCGAGCTTTTCAACGCGAATTAACACACTTTGGAAAACGCACAGGGCTCGCGCACACATGTGCGTGAATTTGCAGTTATAAAGGATGGGTCTCTAAGTTTGGGCAACAGAGTACCGATCGTAAATTAGAATGTTTTTTGTTATTGTACGTATACTCTGCTGGCAACACTGCAAAGCGATTAATCAAAGTCATAATATAATATTTTTCCATTGAATGAAAAAATGAAATCGCGCAAAGAATTTTTAAATTAAAAACATTCTGATCTTTTATTGCTGTGAGAAATTTATAAATACATAAATTTTAATGTTAAAGGGAAATAATTGAAGTAATTGAAGCACCAAACAGTCAATCATAATCATTTCCAAAATAGAAATTTGAATTTTGAGATTTTCTTGTTTATGAAAAGCTGTTAAAACATTTTTCTAAACGCATCTTGTGTTCGCAACCGTGAATGACATAAAATTAAAAAAAATATGATACTTCAATCAATTTAAAGTAAGTAAACCATATTCGATTTATTGATTTGATTTTTTGTAATTTTTATCGCTAGACTTTTCATAATAAAATTTTAATAATTTCTCAAGCAAAATCTACGCAGTTTAAAAAATTAAACATAAAAATCTTAACTTTGAACTCTGACGTTTTGTATGTTGGTGAAAAATACGAAACAAATTTAGATTGATTAATGGGCTTAATGGCTCATCATACATTGTTTTAAAAGTTTCTGGAAGGATATTATATTTCAAAATTGTTCTGAACACCTTTCCATAAAAAACAGATGAAATTTTTGAAACATTACAGTACAAAACACTTGGACAACTTTTATTTGAAAGAATAAGTTGAAAAAGTTAAAAAAAATTACCATAATACAGGCTTGAAATTCCATTACATAATTTAAATATAAAAAAGGAATTTAATTTTAATATTTAAGGTGAAATTATATAAAAAAATTATTCAAGCAGCAAGAAGTCAAGAGAACAAGATCAACAAAAAACTTATTGAAATGACTGGAAATGAATCTAATTATTTTGTGCAAAATTTTTCACGAAATGAAAAATGTCCAATCATATCGTAATCTTCCTTATATACTTATACTTGATCAGTACTTGATAAAATGGCTTTAAAAAAATTTGAAACAATATTATTTGATTTTTTTAGTATATAGAGATGAATGTGATATTAAAATTTTACTTTTGTTCAAATTGTTTCAACTTTTATTTTATATAATGGAGGAAAAAATAGAAAAGTATAGGATTTTAAGTATTTCTATTAAATTTTGAAACAAGAGCTTTGTCTGCAGTAAACGAGAATAGATTTTGATTTGCGTCAAAATAAGTGAACAAAATATAATGTGGTAAAAAAAATTTTGAATAAAAAATTCCACTTACTATTGAACTCCTTGCTGTTGCGATTGATGGAACTCTGCTGCTCGGACGTGGGCACGAGGGTGCAGAAGCCCAGCAGCAGCATCAGGACGGTGACCGGAGACATGGCTAAGGAGAAATGCTTTTACTTCTTTCCTGTGAGGAGGTTGGACGCCGACTAACTACCGAAGCTACGCGAGAGCCGCGGAAGGAGCTGCAAAGATCCTGCACCTGTACGGCGTGTGCGTGAAAATAAAAGCAGCGCCGGCCCAATGCGCCGGCCGCTTCCAATTCTTTTGAAGAAAATACTCTCATTCTTTGTGTGCGATCGCGAGCGGTGGTGGTGATGGATACCCTTTCTCCACCGCGCACTTGGTTTTACTTCAGCTATTCTTGCCGCGCCTCTTAATTTTTCATTGTTTTGTACAAAAATAATGAGCATAGGACGGACGATAAATTGTAATTTTACATTATTTATAATTAATCCAGGCTTGCTCATGAATACATTTGACCCAATACTTTTACGGTGTAAAAAGATATAATAGAAAATTCAATTTTCAGGAATTATAATTATCTTCAGTCACAAATTCCACCGATTAGCTTAATTAAATGATAAAAATTGATGTTTTCATCATAATTCTGCGATAAAAATTTCAGTGACTGTTTAATATATTTTTCCTATTTTTCGACTCCAGCTCGGCAAGTAGGTTTGACTAATAATAAAAAATGACACCTTACTAATTCTATTTTCTTTTTAAATTCAAAGTTTTGTAGACGTTTAAATCGCAATTTTAATCTTGGTTTACCATATGATGAAATTTTGGAACATATAAATAAATTTTTCAATGGATTTATATTTTAATTAATCATAATTTATTATTAAGCTTCAAAAATGACTAAAGTGGGAAAATTTTGAAATGCAAAGTATTTGTTACATCTGCAAAAATCATACAACGAAAGAAATTCAGGTACAATTTTTATACAAAATTAAGATTATAATCAAAAATCAAAACTACTTTTTTTGATCAGTGTTTAAAATTGAAAGCAGTATATATTCAAATAATCAAAAGGATCAATTTCTTACATTAATCCCGATTCAATTCAAAACAGCCAATTGTTACTTTTTTAAAAAATGAAATAAAAATTAAAATTCTCTGCTTGGTTTTTTTCCATATAGAGGGACAGAGACAGAGAAGCCGGAAACTTTAAGTCTGTGCCATATATTTTCATACATAAATATTTTTTCTTGTTCAGCTGACAACATACTTTTGCCAACAGTACAGAATAAAACTATTTACGAAACTTTAATTTTATTATTGATATTGCAGCAATGGACAATAAAAAGACCATGAAACTTTATAAATCTTAATTAAAGAGAAAAAATAATTAAAAAAATATCTGAATTATACTATGCTAGAATCAGTTCAAAACGGGACTAAACACTTTGTTTGGTTGGCAACTCAAGTGGCTCGCGCGTGACTAGCTGTCAAACATGGGGGACGAAAGGCAACCCTTATTACAACAAGAAAATCATGGTAATAATCCCTTACCGGGCCCAAATAACCCCCGCAATATGTTCCTGACATATTTTTCTCCCTCTCTGACTAATTTTGAGTTCGATAATGGCGAAATTCTGGGCTAGGACGGTTGCGAAAAGTGACGCCCTGGCCTATGGCCGTCTCTTTGCTCCAACCCTGCTTTGCGGGGAAAACCGCCCACATCCCTTCGAATTTCGGTCGATTCCTATTAATTTTGTCATTTTCCCTCAGGAGGTGGAGGATTCCAGACCACCGTATCGCCGATCGGGCCGGACGAGCTGCCACCCCCTTACACGGCCGCCTCGCAGGGTGGAGTCCCGATGGTGACCTGCAGGGTCTGCCAGGCCATGATCGACATCTCCAACAAGAGAGAGCAGCACGTCGTCAAGTGCAGGGAGTGCAGCGAGGCCACGGTAATTTTACCTAAAATATCCTTAATTAAAAATTTGCATTTAAATTTGAAATTGGAACGGATGTAGACTTTTAAGTTGATGCGTAATTGTTATCACTTGACTTGTTTGTGCTGACGTTTTATTGTTTGTTAAGACAACTGAGATTAAAAAAATGAACTATCTAAAGTTGTAAGGTGATATAAAACTGGATTTTTGTTTAATTCTTTCATTTGTATTTGCAGCCAATCCGAAATGCTCCGCCTGGCAAGAAGTATGTGCGGTGCCCATGCAACTGTCTGCTTATTTGCAAGAGTTCCTCTCAAAGGATCGCCTGTCCAAGGCCAAACTGCAAGAGGATCATCAACCTGGCGCCCAGCCCGGTGACCCCACCGGTGCCTACCATGCCTGGAATGTGTCGGGTCACCTGTGGTCACTGCCACGACACTTTCCTTGTAAGAAAGATTTGATTTTGGGGAAATATATTTAATTTTTTGTTTAGATTTTTAGGCAGGAAATGGATGAATTAATGGGGAATTTTTATAAATTTATTTTCAATATTATTCAGATCTGACACATTTAATTTATGCTGTGAGAAGGGACTACAGTTTAAATTAGTATTAATGTTGTGACCTGCTCTGAAACTTTTTTTAACAATAATTTTATAAGCTTAAATATTTGAAATAATTTAATGATAAAGAACCACTACTTTTATAAATCAAAGACGCTCAATTTAAATTTAAAGTTCCAAATTTAACATCTTACTCTTTAGTTTAGAGTAAAAAATTGGAGAAAAATTCTAAACGGCCACGCAAAGTTGCATTTTATCAACATGCAATTCTAATCGAAAATAATAAAAATCTATCAGTAACATTTTATTACAGATGTTAGTGAATTCCATTGAATTTTTAAATTATTTCAAATTTTACATCAAATCTTAGGAAATTCTGTCTATTTTTTATTATTTGTCCTTTTTAATTTTACAAAAATTCAAACACTTGAAGTAATCTAAAAATAAGCTTTTTTGATTCCAGTTTAATACGCTTACAAATGCTCTCGCAAGATGTCCACACTGCAGAAAAGTGTCCTCGGTTGGACCAGACTTTGCCCGAGGCCGTGGCATCCTCTTTGCCATTGTTGGACTGATTTTCATTGCCCTCGGCATTGGAGTCACGGTTGGCACTTACCAAATGGTTAGGACCAATGGTGGAATTTACGTAGCCTATGTTGGTAAGCAAAAAATTTAATTGCGATTGCTTAATTTTTATAATTGAAAACAAAGACGAAATAAATCTTTCTGTTTTAACTAAAATTAATTATTGAACAATTTCATAATCGTAAATCATTAAATAATGTTAATTTTTTTTATTAAATTGTTCCTTATACAAGTTTTGGAATTCCAGGTGCATTCCTGGTTGGTTTGTTGGCGTTTGCTCGCAGCTTGTACTACTGCACGATGAAAGTAAGTCTGATCGAAGGGCCCATGTAACGGCCCGTCGGCCACCGTAGGCCCCGGGAAGAAAGCACAGTGTCAATCGAGTCAGAACCAACCGATATTCTAATCTCAACGAGGATGAAAACCATCGAGGTTTGCCCCTATCGCTGCTGATCTATTACTTAACCACACACAACAAAAGAAAAAAATTCTGTCCACTTTCAAATCACGAATGATGTTGAATTCTGTTGTCCGGTAGGTGCTGCGTTATAATATTTTTTTAGCAATCGAATCTCTGAACTCGAACAAATGATATCTACGTTGTGAGCAGCTTTTTGTGCGATACTAAATTTTAAAGTCAAATTTTTTAATCATTTTTATACATTCCGAAGAAGTAGGTTATCGGTCGTGCTTGCCAACGTTATTTCTGTGACTCCTCTCTGTCTTGCTTGCAAAAATTTAGCAAATGTAATGATGGAACGTACTCGATAATACTTAACAAAAGTGCCGAAAATAATTTTTGCTGTTTTTGTATCCAGACTACCCTTTGCTTCTTACCCGAGCTAGAATCCTGTGCGAATTTGTTTTTAGTCTTCAGGGGCAGTCTCGTTGCAACAGATTGGCAAGGCAATACACACAGTTGAGTTAAATCGCCTGAGGAGTAATTTTTTGTATGATTTGATTATTTGCAAAATGAGAAAACGCTACGAACCCATGGTTTGTTGTTTGTTATTTTTGTAAAAATGATTGATTTTTGTACATAATTCTACTAGAGAGCATATTATATGAATGCAGTTGTAAAAGAGGCGCTGCGTGATTCGTTAATTGTGAATAATTATTTTCTATTCTTCTTATTCAAACTGCAACGCTTAAGGATTAATTTTACTTCCAGAGAAATATAGTTACGGCCTTCATTTCCATTCATTCTCTATACAATATTATATCTGCGTATTTTATAGTTGGAAATAAAACAGACCTTTAAAGTAAAAACCTCTAAAATTATTTTATTTAAAAATTATAAATCACCACAAGACACCAAAATGAATAAAAATTTCCCTTCCAACATTAAAACTAATGCTCCTCGGAACTCAGTTTCCTTAGAGCGTCAATGAGCACTTGCATGTCTTGATTGGTGCAGGTCATCAGATTTTGAATTTGCTGCTTTGAGTCGAGAATCTCCACACTCTGGGTGTAGGGATTGTAGCGCACACCAAAGGGTCTCGGCACAGTCAAAGCATATTTTCTAAAAAATGAAATATTACATAAAAAAATAATTATTTGAAAATTAAATAATAACTTACATCATCTGCGCTTTGCCCTCCTCAAAACTGTTGGAAACATAGTAGATAGGTTGATAGCTTGTGATCGGATACTTTTGCAGGCAGGTCTTTTCGGGCTCAAAGGGTCGCAGTTCGGCCTTGCCCTCCAAGCAGTACTGCAACTCTCCGTAACTTGAGAGCAAACCGGCACCGTATGCTCTCATTTCGCCTTCCTGGTTGCACAATCCGTACTCGACAGTAAACCAGAACAACTGAAATTTTAAATTGAAAGTTTGAATCATATCTAAAATGTTTACAAATGTAAATTTTTAAGAAGAATGTGAATTTTAAAATAAAATTAATAAGTATTGCTGATCATGATAGCTAATTATTTTATTCTTATTCATAAAATGATTTATAATAATAATTTTCAATTTATTTCAACAGACTTAAATATATCAGTAAATATTTATTCTGTTAAATTGATTTATAATGTATGTACATTTGTGAAGTTTTAATTAAAATATTGACTGAATAATGTAATATTTATAAATTACCGTTGCCAATTTTTCTATGTAATCGTCTGGTGCGCCTAGACTAGCTAGTCCAATTTCCTGACAGAACTGGGCGAAGGCCGGATCTGCGAAAAGGGGTGCGTGGCCCAGCAGTTCGTGGCAGACGTCGGGTTCGGGGGTGTAAAGGGGACGGCTGGGGTGGCGAATGTACTGGGTCGAGTGGAACACCCGGAAGGCCAGTCCCGCGAGAAAGTCCCTCGACGAAAGCAGACCAGCCACCGGACGCAGCGTGAAACCGGTGCAATCTGGTTTTGCATTATTTTTTACTCATTATTAAATTTTTAATTAGTTTGAATGGTGGACCTTTCAAAAAGTTGGAGACGTCCTCGAGCTGCGGAATGTTGTCTTCGCGATATCCGCAGTTCTGGATGAGAAGGGGAAACACGTGATTGTGCTCTTTGCAAGCGTGAGTCGGATACAAGCGCGACAGTTCGCGGAAAATGACGCCCCAGGTTTGCGTTTCTTCCTCCGTGTAGTTCACGTGAGGCAATGGATCACCACTTGAGAAAAGCAATACAATATAAACAAACAGTTTAAAAATACAGAGAATGTTAGATAAAAAAAAAATTAAATCAGACAAAATCTTGTTGAAACCAAAAATAATTTGTAAAATAAGAATAGAGGGTTTTTTAATTCAAAAATACATCACAGCGTCCGTAATTAAAATGAAATATTATTTTGTTTAAATTTTATAAATTGATTTAATGGCATTTTTAAAAAGCTTCATAATTTAAATTACAATATTTAATTTAATATTTATTGTTTTAAAAAATAATTGGATTCTAAAAAATAATTTAATCTTGTAATATTATGTTCGTAAAATTAACAAATAAAATAACTTACTGTTTGTAATTGTAAGCAATATCGGCAAAGTATTTTCTCCTGGCCCTGTATACAGGGTCAGTGAACCCAGGGTGGTCCGAATCCAATTCGGCTCCGTAAGACAAGATCTGGTTGGCGAACTTGTCCAGATCTCTGATGCGCCTCGGAAACCACGGAACCGTGTCTGTCAAATTACATTTTTTTAAGGTCAGTTTAAAGTTAAATTGTTTCATTATTTTGTAAATTTGCAATAATTTTTATGCTCTGGCTGACCTCCAAGTTTCTCGTTGTCGTCATGGTTGCGCAAAATCACTTGCAAGTATTCGCACGACTCGCGCAGTTTCTTGGTTGCCACGTCCAAATTTCCGCAGGTCGGGTCACATTCAAACATGAATTCATAGTGGCCGCTCTGGCGCCTCGAAGGACGCGACTCGATGTGAAGGAGATTCACTTCATTTTCCTTTAAGATTCATAAAATGAAGTAAAACATTAAACATAATTACCATTACTTGCATTATATAAAGTAAAAAATTTAATATTTACGTAGCATGAAACAGAAAATGCACTTTTCGAGTCTCTTTTACTCCCTTAGAAGGAATGAAAATAATTTAATTTTTAATTGAATCATGTTTTATTACTGGATAATTATGTTAAAAAGAGAATAATTGAAACAAGAAATTCCCTTATATGTGGCTGATGGAGGAAAATAAAACTTAATGTTCTCTTCCTTGAATGGAGAAATATGAAATGAAAATTGCGTCAGTGACAATATATTTATGCAAACTGCTGCGCGTACGTGATCAAGTGGTTGCATAACTTTTCGCCACAAGGGGCGCGCGAGGTTATCAACAATGACAGCCAGAGCTATCGCACGGAACAAACAATCTTTCGCTCTCTGTCGTCAATATGTAGTTTCATCAAAATAAAATAATGATAATAAATAATAATCACCTCGAAGAGCTTGAGGATTTTGGCGAGGGCGCCCACTTCTCTGGTGCTGTGGGGTGACAGCACAAGACAGGTGCTTTTCGAAGAGTCTCGACCTTCCCTAATGTAATTGCCTCCGGTCATCAACACTGGCTGCAAATGAAAATAAACAGAGCGCACCGGTGAAAACTTATTTTGGGACTATGCTCGTCTCGAATATTTTGAGTAATTAAAGAACAACCAAATTTTCAACAATAAAAAAAGGATTATTTTGGTACAAAGCAGATTTATGACGTAGAGTTTCCAGTTCTTTCCAACTTCTGATGTATATAGCAGCTCAAAACCTGTTTCACATTTGCATGGAAATATTTATAACAATTTTTAATTTTACCGAATTCTTATTTTGAATTGTAAGTTAGTTAGTAGTGTTTACTTTTGTGAACGAAAGTAAATATTTGGAAACTGACCATGAGTAGAAAGTTGTCAAATAGCGTCCCGATATCAAAATAATTGCCTCGCCCGTCCAGCAGCGTCTTTATTCTTTTTTTTTTTTAATTTACGGCGGAGGCTCGTCCGTTCGCGACCACCGCTTTGGAAGGTTTTATAATAATAAACGTAAATTAGCACCGAAATGAATGCCTCCGAGGCTTTGATGGCTCCAGACTTTTTCACCCGCCGGCTGTAGCTGAGCCATCGATTTTCGTCACGTACGCACTCAAAATTGTATACAATTTCATCGACATGGCGCCAAAAATTGCCAACCGTGGTCATAAAAATTGCCAAAAAAATAATAAAAATCGACTGTTTTATGGTTTTCAATTTTGGTCAAGTTCTGAAAATAATAAAAAGCTGCTTACGTCTTTCAAATTATGATCGGCCAGTTGTTCTCCCGCTGGAGGGGCCATCCTCAAAATCTGCCTGTTGGTCTCTTGTCAGAAAAAAATGCGAGTGTGCGAAAAGTTTTGCACTCGAGTGCAGAAAGACGACTGGAGATCAACGAGTGCAACGTTGTGCGCTTTTATTAATGTGCGTCCCCTCTATCGGAAAATATATGTGTCTGAATTAGGAGGCTCGTGCGTGTTTATTATGTTTGTGTCGCATCCCCGCGAGCGAAAAGTGGGGAAAACTCCGCGGCGTATACCAGAGGAACGCGGTCATTTACGCACAATTCCTTTTGTGGTTGCGTGCACCGTGGGTTTTTTTCGGGCGGAAAAAAACTGTGGCGAACCAGAAGGTTGCGGGATATTTTAAATTTTTAGCATTTAACCACACAAGAATTTTTAATTTTATTCTTATTATAATTTAATTATTTTAAATGGCTTGATTATTTAAATTTATTATATGGGAGTTTTGGTACCACAGAAATAGGTCAAAGAATTGTCAATATAGTAATGGAGAGGAGGCTTTTTGAGCCAATCAGATTGCTCGATTCTTTAAATCTCGCATTTTGGCATTTAACACAGAATTTACTCTGTGCGAGGTTTTGATGTTAAATTTATTCCTTGAGACTTGACCTTCCCAGTGATGTATTTGTATTGGGCTTTTCAGGTTTAGATTTTGACTGATTTTGACATACAGAAGCCCTATTGATGAGCTCAAACTTTAATAAATGTAAATAAATTTTCTGAATTTTTACAAATTGTTTCTAAAAGAAAATTTAAAAAAAAAACATCTACTTTGGAATTTGGTAATCCAGTTTATTTGTTTTCTTTAATTATTGATTTTTCTATAATTGTCCAACAATTTTTTAATTGGATTTATTATATTTATTATGTATAATAATACCCTTTTTTCTAATAATAGTTTTGCGCGAGACCACAGCCATGAAATAATGATCTGGCCATTAATTTCTATCTAACTTTACAATCCCACTACTTCCAGTCTCAGAAAGTGCGTCGCAAATTTTCTTTACAGATAAGATCCGTCTATTTTTGAATATCAATCTGGGGAAAATTAAATCATATATTTTATGGGGGCACGGCTCTCTCGCGGTCAAATAAACAATTTTGCTGCTGGATCGGCGGATCGTTTTTTGTGTATCACTGTCACTATCTGGCAGAGAGGTCGCGGGATGATAAGGAAGTGGTTAACCTCTGGCAGGGTCGCGCGCTCAATATCTCATCATTTTCACTTTGGCAGTTTCACAATTTGACAAATTTATTGAAAGATAAATTGGATAAATTATTATTTCACACAGGAGAATGTAGCTTTTTACGCGGAAAGCAATCAATCAAATTATATTGCACCTGGTGGCTTTCCTATAATAGTAATAACACCACATAATTCTGCAATTACTGTTGGCTTTACACACTCTGCTCCAATTTTGCACGTGTCGCATCTAGGCTGTTTCATAACATTATCCAATTTCAAAATTTTCAGCCACAAGCTATACAATTTTTACATCTTCACAATTAATAATTTTTCTTTTTTTTTTAATTCCGATAAATATTAAACAATCAACATGAGTTGTTAATACAATCGTCTGTAATGAATGGAGAAAAATAAATTAACCATAAAAATTGAAAAAAAATATATTAAAATAAATATCAATTCACATTTCAGTAAATCCTGTGTAACAGCAATGATTCCAAAATGTAATGTAGGCAATATAAAATTTACAAAAATTGACTTACTTATCAATATGAACTTAAAAAACTAAAAAAACATCCCAAACACTAAAAAAAGTATAGAGAAATTTTCCTAAAATACGTAGTTTTATAAATAAATCTTGACATTTTGTAAATTTTTTTTAGTTTCATCTGGAACGAATATGAATATATATGATTATTTAGAGCTCTGAGTTTGAACTTTGTTACAGAAAATAGTGTGCCATGACCTGTCTTGAAGGTCATCTCAGTCACCTCATGTGGCGCGATAAGAACTGGTCTATTCCTTTTTGAATAGTTCAGAACTGATTGAAAAATTTCACCTATATAAGAATAATTTTTATCACTTTTTCAATTAAACTCACAATGTCATCCAGTTTGACCGATTTCTCATCGACGGGCCTCGATTGCGAGTGGTGGCCGTTGGAAGCCGCCGCTTTCATCATGGTGGTGCGCGATTCTTGAGTCCTTGTGGCGTGACCTCGGCTGGGCAGTCAATGTCGTGAAGACCAAGTATGCAAACTCTTCTTGCGTCCAGCATCCTCTCGCCCCACTACCTGCCGATCGATGCTCTTCGATTACTCCATTTCTCACTGCTCTTTGTGCTCTTAATTTCTCGGTCGGGCTTTCTCTCCTCAGCAGCGCATTTTGGAAACTTCCTTCTGGACTCAAAGAATTCCGGGAGAACGTAATATCGCCTGCTGGTCCTCCTGCAGGGCAATGGCAGAACATTTTGAAAATTTAATTGCTGCAGAGTGAAAATAAAACACTATGTTTTTTATATATTCGAAAGTGAGAGTTGGATAGTAAATAAAGTTCTCTCGATGATTCAATGAATTTTTATGGATGGTATTATTATTCATTGAGTAAAATTGAGTAAAAATTAGGACAATTAAAGTAGATTAAATTGAATTGATTTATTTTTTAAATTACTGTTTTCTAATATAAACAAGAATAAGAAAAGAGACATAAAACCTGAAAAAAATGACTAACTAATTTAAGTTAATTTTTAAGCTGTTCGATACATATTATACGAAGTTTATTAAACACCATTATGTACAAATTAATATTATAATGCTCTAAATATATTATAGCTTAATGTAACATATTTGATAAATTTTAAATTTATTTTAGGTTAAAGTTAAAAAAGTTTAAAACTACCCTGAAAATCATTCCAGGAAATTTTAAGCTCCTTCAATCTCTTGCAATCTTAATCAATTATTACAAAAGTGATAATTTTTTGGTGTATTCAGTTGGTTTCAGTACACGACCTTACTTCACAGTGATGTCATTTGACACTGCATATGAATAAACTTGGCATTTTGTAAAATAATTAAATTTAATTTTGCCAGTAATCTTGATTTAAAATTGTGAGGCATTGCTGAAAAACTTTGCTGAAGGATGTATCGGATATAGCAAACTTAGCAAAACCACATTGTGAAAAATTATCAAAGAGTTTTAAATGAAAATATACAGGGTGGCCCAAAATTCAACGACAGATTTTAATTTGCTGCCATTTTTGAACGGATAAAGATATTTGAGTTTTCTCAGCGGGAGAATGAAGTTCAGCTGTGGAAGTTTTGTTGGTGCTATGGGCATCCCATTGTTGCAACGCATTGTTACTGAAAAATTGCCACAAACGTAAACGAAAAATTTCTCTTATGGGATTTCCATGTTAATTTTTAAGCTTTTTAAATTTTTGACTTTTTAAACGGGACAAAATGTTTTCTAGCCTAAAATTTTGCGAGGAACACGATTCTGATGTCTAAATTTTATTCCAGTAAGTATAAAATAGACTTTTTGACTCAAATTTTATGAAAATGAAAGGTTAGGTCAAATTTGACGTCACCAATTGATTCAGCTTGCGGAGTTTACCCTTAGTACCAATTTTCGTTTCTCTACCTATTTTGGTTCTGTAAAATCCAGGAAACCGTCAAATTTTACCTTAAGTAAATTTGTATAATTAAACTTCCGATGGCCATAAAAAATAGAAGTCCAGCTTTAAACTTGTAAAACTTTGGCCGGATTAACTCCGTGCTTTGCGAGAACTTGTAATTTATAAGTTAGAAGTCTGTCACCCAGAAGAAAAAATTTATTTTTTAAAGCTTGTAGTGATTTATTGAAAATTTAAAAAAAAATTTATATAAAGTTAATCTACTTGAAGCGAAAAATTAAAAGTCCAGTTTTTAAAAAACTGCGATTTCGCTGACAGTTAGAAGGGTTTAAGGGCTACGTTTTCTCTAAATGGCAAGTCTGTCACCCAAAGAAAACTTTGGCTTTTTATTTTTTTAGCATTTCAAACAAAATTTCCTGCATCGGATTTGCGTTATAATTTGGCAAAGTCGACCAAAAAATTAGATTCTGCCGAGCGACAGGTGCAAAATTTTGTAATCCAACTCAATGAACCACATAAATGTTAAAAATTGCCATGCAAGAAGTATGAAGCCTGGACTTTTTATAAATTGTATTAAAATTTGGAAAATTGCAAAATTTTATCAATTAATACCCCTAAATACCTGCAATTAATAATTAAATGAAAAGTCCAGGTCTCATACTACTTGCGTGGCAATTTTTAACATTTATGTGGTTCATTGAGTTGGATTACAAAATTTTGCACCTGTCGCTCGGCAGAATCTAATTTTTTGGTTGACTTTGCCAAATTATAACGCAAATCCGATGTAGGAAATTTTGTTTGAAATGCTAAAAAAAAAATAAAAAGCCAAAGTTTTCTTTGGGTGACAGACTTGCCATTTAGAGAAAACATAACCCTTAAACCTTTCTAACTGTCAGCGAAATCGCAGTTTTTTAAAAACTGGACTTTTAATTTTTCGCTTCAAGTAGATTAACTTTATATAAATTTTTTTTAAAATTTTCAATAAATCACTACAAGCTTTAAAAAATAAATTTTTTCTTCTGGGTGACAGACTTCTAACTTATAAATTACAAGTTCTCGCAAAGCACGGAGTTAATCCGGCCAAAGTTTTACAAGTTTAAAGCTGGACTTCTATTTTTTATGGCCATCGGAAGTTTAATTATACAAATTTACTTAAGGTAAAATTTGACGGTTTCCTGGATTTTACAGAACCAAAATAGGTAGAGAAACGAAAATTGGTACTAAGGGTAAACTCCGCAAGCTGAATCAATTGGTGACGTCAAATTTGACCTAACCTTTCATTTTCATAAAATTTGAGTCAAAAAGTCTATTTTATACTTACTGGAATAAAATTTAGACATCAGAATCGTGTTCCTCGCAAAATTTTAGGCTAGAAAACATTTTGTCCCGTTTAAAAAGTCAAAAATTTAAAAAGCTTAAAAATTAACATGGAAATCCCATAAGAGAAATTTTTCGTTTACGTTTGTGGCAATTTTTCAGTAACAATGCGTTGCAACAATGGGATGCCCATAGCACCAACAAAACTTCCACAGCTGAACTTCATTCTCCCGCTGAGAAAACTCAAATATCTTTATCCGTTCAAAAATGGCAGCAAATTAAAATCTGTCGTTGAATTTTGGGCCACCCTGTATTATGTTTAAATTTCTTATCTATAGGCTCAGTATTTAATCATTTATTTTTGTTACCATGTACAAAAAAATATTTTTGTATAGGTGTAAAATAAATTGCTAGATTGAATTAAAAATTTTATTAGTTTGTGAAAGTTTTTGTAAAATATGTAGTGGTTGAAAATATTATTTTGAAATCTAGATAAGATTTAGCATGAATTGGTATTTTTAGTATTTTTACTGAAAAAAAATTAGCGTATAATTACATAATATTAAAATCATTTTTAATGATGTAGTACAAATCGGTCATTTACAGAAATTTCCTGCCTGCAGCTTCGCAACCGGCTCGATACAGATGTCCAGCAGGTTGCATACAACTAATCGCTTCTTTAAAAAATCTTTTAAAATAATTTCCAAGTGCCAAAACTGCAATCTACGCTAGTCTTACTTATTTGATTTACTTTTTATCAGCTATTTCCAACTAAATTTTGACTGATTTTCAAACTAAATTGTAAAACCAAACCTTTTTTAGATTATAGGGAAAATTTCAAGTTTCTTAAATTTTTTTCAAGACTCAAATTTATTTTATTAAGAAATTTATTTGTATTTTTTATCATTATTATTATTTTTTGATTTACTTTTATTATTTATTATTATTAAAATAAAATTTATCAAATATTATAAAGTTGTTGAAAAAAAATTGAAGTCTTCAGCAGTCAATAAGTCTGTGTTGTAAAATTTTTACATTAAATATTATCTCGATTTGGTGCATTCACCGGTGGGTGGTGGAAATTTAGTTGGCACACAACACACATTATTTATATGCACGGATAATAATAATCATAAACGCGCTCGAGAGAGAGGAGAGAACTGCTAGCGCGCACATTACAGAATAAAAATACATAGTACACTCATAATGGGCGCGAGAAGAGCTGCAGGATAATGACCTTGGTTGGCCAGTGGTCACTAAACAGAAACTACTCACGTACGTTAGCGAGAGTGAGAAAGAAAAGGAACGAACCTCAGTCGTTGGCCAGACGTATATTTCGCTCGTCGGCCGCTCGAGAAATATATATTTTATTATTTTGTTCATTCAGCATAGCGCACCGAAGGATTTTTTAGAACTTTTTTGATCCGCCAGCAGTCGAGCGTACACACACAAATATATACACAATCTCGCGCTCTTTATTGCCAATAAACAGAGAGAGCCAGGCCAGGGGCGTGAGTTGCAGAAAAAAGGTTCAAGGCTGTTTTATCGCAACGCACCGAGCGAGAAAAAGACACGGCGCTTTAAAATTATACTCCCTCTGGGCTGTGCGAGTTTTAGAGAAAGAGAGAAGCGGTCGGTCGGAAGCTGCAAAGGCACCTCGACCGGCTCAGGCGCCTCAATTAATTTATTTTTATTTTCTATACCTGTCCTATGCACAGCAATTTTTGGCAGAGATGTATTGTGATGTTTGAGTAAAAATGTTTTAAATGTCAAGGCAGAAAACAATTTATAAATATTATAGTCGTACATCAATAAAATTAAATAAAAGAAATAACAAATTAATTAAAATTCCCAGTAAAAGTAAAGATGCTTGATTTATACATCAATTTTTTATAATATATATCTATTTACTTACAACAAGTCAACAGATTATAATAAATAAGAAACATTTCTGCTCCACCAAAAAAGATGACTGGTTTAATGTCAAATATTTCATTCAATAGTTTTAACTCTTGAAATATGTATTCATAAAAATAAAGTAAATCTTCCGATAAAAGTTATTAAATCATAGAAAAGTTAATGTTGCAATAAAGGATTATTGATTATTAATAACTGCTGGTTGGGCCAGTGAACCCTTTGGTACATAGCTTGAGATTTGTTTAAAAATAATATACAATAAAGCTTGAGGAGGGTAGTTTTTAACTGCACAAAGGTGGAAGAAAATAAAAGAAATAGAAATAAAATAATAAAAAGTTGGTTATAAAAATACATTTTTGCCTAGGTTCAAAGTTGGAATAAGAAAATATTATAGGTTGGTTTTATTTAATTATTATTACTTTTTTTGTAATAAAGTGTTGATGAAAGTTTTCATGATAAAACTTGAATATATTTAAGAATTCGAAATTCTCTGCTAATTTTAGGATGAAATAAGTAAATTTGCACAACGTTAGCTGAAAGAAGTGATTTTTCCAAGTCACATTTTAAAATGTATTGTGTAGTAGATTTGAGCATTTGTGTTTTATTTTCTCTTCAAACAGTTTAATTTCATTGAACGCATATCTTTCTGATTCTCTTAAATTCAAATATTTCTGATTGGTCACTATCAAATAATTCGTTATCAAAGTGATTGTAAATTGCAGTAAATCATTTTCTTTTAATCAGAAGAAATGTATAAAAAAATGGTCCCATGAAGAGTGAATAATTTTTAAAGCCTTTCTCGGAATTAATTAAATTAATTTTTTTTAAATATTTTGCAAAAGAAGAATAAATTATGAAAAGTGGTGTTTATTTTATATTATTTTTTTTTAGAGTGCAATAATCTCTGTGCGGGAAATGACACAGACAGCATCCATAGCGCCGAGGGAAAAAGAGATCCTCCTCCGTAAAAAGCCTCAGTAGCTCTATCTCAGCCGCATGCGACGGCTCGGGTTGCCGAGCTTTTGCTGTTGTTGTTGAAATCAAGGTTAAAGTTACAAGAACTCCATCCATATCCCTCTTGGGCATCGCCAGAGAGGCGGCTCAGGTGCCGCCGCCGCCCTGAACGCATGCGCTGAGCAGACGATCTTAAAAAACCTTTCCGAGTTCACGGTTTTCTTAATACTTAAAACTAGATTTTTTAACTTTGCCGCATTGAAAATCGTACGTTTCTGTTTGAAACTTTATATATTATTGGTTTTAAAGTAACCAAAAAATTCAAAATTGAGTTCATTTTCAAATTTTGAGCGATATTTTGATAAAAAACCGTCAGTAGATGAAACCGGTTTGTTATAATTGAAAATCACCGGCTCATTTCTCCTTCCATTCGCGAAGCAGGCAGCAGGCCAGTCTAGCAGACACATAAACACGATTCGGCTCGTGAGTGCACGTTTTGCCGACGAAATGCCGATCGGCGGTCGCGAGTGAAGCCCCCGAAGGCCCCCGGCCAAGGCCCCCCGACGGCTGCTCGGACACCCGCCTGTGATTTGCGGACGTTCAAGTCTCCTCGCCAAAATGTAAGTATTATTCTTGAAGCAAATTCGAGGTGATCGCAGACGCAGGTGGATGACATTTGAGTCGCGAGAAGCAGCGAGCGAGAAACAACCAAGAATGAGCAACACTCCTTTATATTTTCCTGGTCTGGAGCCAGACAGACGCCCTTTTCGAAGGCAAAGAGAAAATCGCTCGTATAAAATATTTGTAATCAATAATTTTATTATGTATGCTTTAATCCTGTTGCTAGATCTTTCTAATTCTCGTTTTTCGTCCGGCATTTTTTCCTTAGGAAATTTAAAAAAATTATTTTGAACTTTCTCAAGGCGAATAGTAAATTCCTAATTTTGGAATGCAATTTAAAAATTAAAGTTAAAAGACATTTTTTTATTCATAGAGATTAATGGCAGTATTATTATTGCTAATTATTTTATTTTTTAAATATCATTTCCGTATCCAAATTTTGAAAAGTTGTAATTTAATTTCGCACAAATTTATATATTTAAATTCAATCTCTTTCAATCTCTTAAAAAAATGAAGAAAAACTTTTTTCCGAATCAATTTTGGCAAAAAAGTTCTTAATTTTATCATTCTGAAATCAACAGCAAGTTTTAATTTGCAAATATTTTCCATTTTTTTTTTAAATTAAATAAATTCTAATTTGATTCATTAAAAGAAAAATATGAAAAAATATTCTGTTGGTATGCCCGCATCACTTTTTTTGCAGGTCGATTTTCCCTTATTGCGCTGCCTCTAATTTCCATAATTCCTTTGCCGATTTATTACAACTCGTGTCGACTCTCGCTCGGACACAAATTTATACGTAATCCTTTTCTTATTAATATTAATGCGCGAAAAAATATATGTGCAGAGAGCAAAGAGATTGGCCAAGCAAGCGAATATCCATTATTTATGGAGTGATGCATGTCGTGCTGCATGTCGTGTGTGTTTTGTTCGCACTCACTCTCAGCAGCTTGCATAGGTACTTTCCAATCGAATACACCCATTAATGATTGTATGTTAGTTCGGTCGGGTTGCTTCACCTTTCGTAATTGCCCTCACGGTTCTACCTGCACAGAGAAAGAGAGAGGAAGAAAGAAAGATCTACTTTTTGTAAAAGAAGGACAGACATTTGAGTAAAATCAATATTTGATGAGAAAAAAATAAAAGTTAACATCAAAATTAAGAGGGAATAAAAAAATTAATTAACATGTTATTGGTTAAAAAATAATTATGCTTTTTAGTATTTTTTTTTTACCAAAAATTTATTCAGACTTTTCGTTTATTCTATATAATTAAAAAATGGGATAATTAAGAACGCAACAATTGGAAAAATAAACAAGACGGAACAACAACAATAATTTTTTATCTCTTTATATTTCTACTGAATTTTAATCTTTGGCTATAATTACTGAGTTAAACAAAATTCAAGCAAACGATTTCATTTTTTGAGTTGCCTGACTATTTTGCATTTCCTTTTTAACGTCAGTGTTATCAGCCATCATAAATTTTGAGATAGAAATATGTAGAAACTAAAGATCTTTAACTTATTTTTTCTACCATTCACTTTGGAAAAATGATTCCCCCAAAAACTATTCTCTTCAAAATGACAACACGGAAATTTCTCAGCTAAATTTTAAGCAAAAAGTCAAATTGTAAAGGGATATATAATTTTTCTCCGATATATTTAATATCGTGAATTTTTTTTAAAGTCAATATATGCCAAATTGGAAGAATGTTTTGTTCAATTGAAGAGAATTTAATAATAATAAATTAATGACAGGAAATAGGAAATAAAAATTCAATTTTTGTTGATATCTCAACAGATATTCTCTCTTTGAAGTAGTAATAGAAAAAAGGTTTACAGGCAAATTATATTGAATTATTTGAATTTTTTAATTCAAATCGTTGATGGAAATTGCTCATTGATTTGTCTGTAAATAAACTACACCCGCAAAATAAAAAGCAAGCTATCTAGAAAAAGTTTTGAAACGAAAATAGTGAAAAGCTTCCTCCGTTTTTTGGCTTTTACCAAAACCTCAAAATTCTCATAGATTTGCGGTCAAATTTTTTCCGGTGACTTTCGCTCTTTCCTACTGCAAATGATGTGCTGATTTTCGGCGTGTATCGGATCTTCTTCCAGGAACAAAAGTTCACGCACCTTTCTGATTATCTGTCGCGGAGATGCGGCTCGAAAGTGAAAATCCCTCCGATTATTTTTTTTTTCATAGATTGCCGGCGGGCTGTGCGTAGCTTTTTGTGCGCTGTTTGTACACAAAGGTGATATAATTCGAGAGAGGAAGCCGACCTTCTTCTTGCTCGATTCAAAATTATAATGAAAAACGACCAGATGCGCTCGGAGGTGTTGATGAGAAAGTTTCCAATGGTTGTCACCTTCGAATTCTGACGGATTGCCATTGCAGCACGTGCTGTGGGTTTCTGTGTCGACCCGCGCCGATCGAATGTTGTTCGCGATAATAATTCGATTCGCAGGTTAGTCTATTTAATACAGATAGAATGGAATAAACAGGCTGACCGTCGCCTGCCACCGCCAACATGAAATAAGTATCTATCAATTTTCTAGTCACTGAATTTGTTAATTGAAGATCATGTAAATGTTTGGTTTGTCAACTTCCAAATTTTTTGTGCAAATTTTCATTCTAAACTTCGAGGTGAAGTAAATTTGTCATAATTACGCTAATTCTTTCAGGGCAAAACTGAATTTTGTTCATTCCTGTCTGGACAAACGATAATTAACTATTAATGTAAAGAGCTTGAAAGATGAGTATTTTCCTACAAAAATTTCTCCTTGAATGACTTTTTAACTGAAAAAAGGAATTTAAGTTTTCAAATGTGTTCAATAATAAAAAAATGCTACCAAATTCCCCTATAATTAATTATTTGATTGGCAGACTTTTTTAATTTTTGTAAATTTTCTATTTATATCAATCATATTGGTACTTAACTTTATTCATGATTGGGTTAACTTTAATAATCCCTCGTCATTCATTAAAATAACTCTTGATTTTGCAATAACAATAAAATGAATTATCTGCATCATTTCATTTTCTACTTGCAATTATTTATTGAATTTATTTCTTCGTGTTTTTCGACGCCAACGCCGGTCTTGAAATGAGCCTTGGTGCCGATTCATTAGTCATAAATCGACCACTCAGATCAATCCCACGTAGTTTGTGTCACACAATAATATGCGGAGGCTTCATAATTAGCGACAGCGCGCAGGAAGTTTGACATCCGGAGCTGGGAGCGAAATTACCAAAAGGTGCCAAAGCGGCTTTAAGAAAATCACACACGCCCTCGAATAACACAAAGCACAGATTAAAAAAAAAAATAGTTTAGCAACACGGAGGAGGCGTTTCCATTTGACAAAACTGCATCTTTTTGTATCTGGAATATAAACAAGAAGAGGTGTTTGTTTGCGTCACCAAGCAGACCCTGCTCGAGTCAATCAAGCCTGCTGGTGCGAGGGACGATGCACTTTCGCGTGGGTCATTGTAGTGAGGAATAATAGCTCGTCGTAAGTTGGATATTAGCTCTGGGTTGCGAATTTTGTTTGCATTCTTAATGTTTAATAAAATTATTAAGAAGAAATTTACTGTAAATTATTTAGAATTTTTTTTTTTTAATTTAATTGTTCAATGTTATTATAAAATTAGAGATTTAAAAAGTTAATTTAATTGCTGATTTTGGTAAAATAAAGCATAATTTTTATTAAACAATGTTTTTATAGAAAATTGTTAGAATCTTGGAAAGCGATCACTGAGGAATTTTCCATTTAAATAACAGTCAGGTATAAAAAAGCTTTGTTAAAAAATATTTAAAAAGTGTTTTTTTTTCTATTAAATAAAATATTAAATCAATTTTAATTTTCAATCGTTCAAAAAAAAATGTAGAAGTTAATTTGAATTGCTTACTCGAATTTAAAAAATATATTATGTTATCCTTGAAAATTGTTCAAATTTGAATCGAGTTTTGAATATTTGTGGAGAAATAAACCCGTCTGCACTCGTTATTTTGCCTGAATATAAAATCGCTAACGCCCGTCGTCGGTTCGATTCTGGTTCACTGGCAGTGGCGAACTTGAATGTTGAATTGCCTTTTTCGCGCGCCGTCTTCCTTCTTCGCTCAGCCCTGTACCTCTTTTTGTGCCTTTTGCTGCACTCGGCTGAAAGGAGCGACTGATTTATATATTCTCTGCTCTTGCGGTGTCATTGTGCACCTTCAAGGATAACAAAATTATGGACGCTCCCATTGTGTGCCGGTAATCGAATTTCAGAAGCTGCGATAATTTGCTCCATTCGTCTCGCTGCTCCCTGTCAATTCGCGCACTGACCACCTCCTAACTAACCGCCAAATTAAAATTATACCAAATTTTGAAAAACGTCCCAATCTCTTTTTTTTTTTTGATGATTCAATTGCCTCTCGTAAAAAGATTATGACGCTCGAATTGCTCAAGTGCGCAATCTAATTGCCAGGGAGTGCGTGCATGACTCATTATAGTAATGTTTTGAAGTTTCCGCTGAAGCGATTAGTTTGCTGATTGCAAGCACAGAGTGCAGAATTTATAAGTGGCGAGATTTTGATGATGAGACGAAAATGCCATAATATTCTTGGAATTCAAATTTTTAAAGTAAATATTGCTTTTAAAAACGAATTTCTTCTATTCAAATTTAATCAAGCAAATTCTAGGACTTACTGATATATTGAAATTAAATGTTTACAACAATGGATGTTAAAATTTCCAAATGTGTATTACGGCTCCTATTGTTGCCCAGACTTGATTGGATTTGGCCAATAAGGAGTCCCTTTAAAACAATTTCTATTGATTGAAATCAGAAATATGAAAATTTTGCATTTAGAAGATTTTTGTCTAATAATTCCTAATTTTATATAAAAAATTGATTTAGGAGTAAAAATTGATGTATTTCTCATCTTTCAAATTTCTTCAACTTCTGTGAAGATGCATTTTTGTAGACATTAATTTTATTTTTAAATATCTGCTTAACTTTTCTAATAAATCTTTGTTAAAAAACATTTTTTACGATCGAAGGTTGTTTCATGTTGTTTTAATAAAAAAAATAGCAGCTCCTCAATAGGTTTTCTTAAATTTCTCTTTCTAAATTTCTCGCCACTGTAAGTAATGTACTCGCAGATTGGCCACTCTATGAAACTTTTGAACAATGCGCGCTTGTCTGCTGGTAATGAAGTCATGCGAAATCGCAAACACTGCTACAGGCGCTTTTTGTGGCTGCTTGATTTGAAGGAAACATTCATAGAAAATTATCGCTATACCGCTTTATTATAAATAATGTATAATAAGCTTAGATGTTTGATAAAATTATTAATATTATTGGAACTAAAAAAGCTTTTAAATATAGAATGATTGAAACTAAAATTAAACTGCAGTAAAATCAGTAATTGGCGTGTTGTTGCAATAATAAATTACATTCTAGAGACTACAATTATTGTATAAAATAAATTTGCTGTAACCCTCTCTATTATATAAAAAAGAAAGGGAAAGAAAAAAGCCTCCTTCATTTTTAATCCAAGATTTTTAAGAAAAATAAGATAAACCATTTTAACTGATTTTATTAATAAATATTTTTATTTTGATTGCAATTTAAGTAATTTCTTATTAAGATTTGTGGATTAAATTAAATAATGTGAGCTATCTTGTTGGCTATTAGTTGAATCACTTGAGTTAAATGTGTCTTGAAAGTACAGTTCCGCAGAGAGCAGGGCAGACGGACGAAGTTGCGAATGCAGCGAAGAACGCGAGCTGCTTGTCTCGCGTGTAGCAAAGAATGAGAGACTTTGTCAGTTCAAAACCTGATACCAACTGCGCCGACGTGACTGGTATTAAATTAATATTATTTTATATAAACGTACATACAAGGGAATTGCGTAAAAAGAGAAGCGCACCACGTTTTGTGCCAAGTCGGCTGCATTTCTCGCGCGCATCTTGTGCCCGATTCTGCCCGATCACAATAATTATCAGACGCTTCTGCTTTTTGTCACGACTTCCTGTTCCACTTTTCGAACCGGCATTCGTTCCAGACAAACTTGCCGAGATCGAATGAACTTAACAAAATCGCCCCGGGAGAGAAATTTTCCCGAGAAGAAAGACTTTCGATACCGAGAATCTAGAATGTTTCTGATAAAAACGATTCATGTTAGATTTTTGTTTTGTTTTTAAATAGGCAGTCAATAAAAAAAGTTAGTTTTCAAATGTTAGGTAAAGTTAAAAATTTTTCTGTTAATTTCTTTATAATTTTCAAATCTGAAATTACTACAAAGTATTATATTACAGTTCAGTAAAACATTTAATAAAAACCAATTCTAATTAGCTACAAAAAAATTATTAAAAAAAAGTAATTTGAATTTTTAAGTAATTTTGGAATTTTCTAAAATCATTTTTCTTTGCAACGAGAAAGTCTGTTTTCTGTTTTCACAAAATTGTAAAAAGTGAAATTCATTTTTTTAATTCGGCTTATACTTTTTATTCCTAACATTTTAAGCATGTATACTTAATTAAAATTTGTAGGAATAACCAGAGAGGATGGCTTTGATAAATACTTGGCAAGCAACAAACACACGTCGAGTGGTTATATTTGTCTACAAAATGTTTTCTCAAGGTTTTCTCTTGATTCGCAACTCGGAAGGCTCTCAATAAGGAAAGTGCACGGGTTAAAATAAATAACTTTGGAAAAAACTTGAATTTGCCTTCTATGGTTTGTTTCAAGCACGCCGGTAATGCTCGCGAATTAAAGCAATGAAGATCCCAGTCCGCATTCTACTTTAATTTTACAAAATTAAAACGCACGACCGGACGGTTAATTAAAAGGTTGTAAAAGTGGTGGGGATTGATGATCCATCTCATCTCGTAAATTATTACCTTGGACCGCGGTTTATTGTCTGATTTGGCTGGCGCCGGAAAGCAATCAATCGCGGGTTTGATCGAATCCTCATCTTCCAGTCTGGGTGAATATTTTTACACTCGATTGAGACGTAAAAAATGCGATTTTTACTTGTAGAAAAAAATGATGCAAAACTGGTTCGATTTGCATAATTAATTATAATAAATTACGCCGCTTGACAATTAAATTCTCTGTCGGCGTCTCTCTCTGGCAAACAAACGGCCATAAATTCTTAGATTTTATATTTCTCCGGTGCCAGCGAGTGATACAGATAAATAAATAGGCGAGTTATTTAAATAAAAAGTTATCTCGCGTCGATGGAGAAATGCACGGAGGGCAGCGGGCAGGTTGTGTGCTGCGCAAACGGAGCGCGGCCCACACCTTGAGCCTTGAACAAAATGGCAAAAGACACCAGGAAGATCTCCAATAATGGTCAAACTACAAAAAAATACGCTGCTGCCATCCTTTTCTGGTGACACGAATAAAAAACAGACATAATACTGAATTTTAAAAATTGATTAAAATGTTTAAATTTTACTATCAAACAAATGGATTTTCAAATGAAATAAGTACCCACTTCAAATAAACTCAAAATTCAAAGTAAAAAATGTTTTAAAAATCCCAAAAGAACAACAAACTTAATTCCAGAATATTTAAATTTACAAATTGATATATTTTTATTTTACCAGAAACTATACAACTGATACTTAAAATTTAAAAGAAAAATAATTTTTTTGATTATTTATATAAATAAAATAGTTGGAAATTTCTAAGCATACTACAAATTTCGCAAGAGATTTTATTCTAAAGGTATCTCGGGTTTTTAAATTCAACCCAAAACCGCAAAGACTTGGCTCGAGAGATTCTCCGTCGCAGAATGAGTCACGACTTTTGACTTCATGTTGCTTTTCTCGTTTTTTGCAGGGAGGTGCACGCCGCCGGTCTCGACTGGATGAACGAATTCGTGCGTCGTCCCAGCCGCCGCCACTACGCCCGCGCCCCCCAACCCCCTCAGGTGGCTGAGGCGCCGCGCAAGAACTGCAAACTCAACCGTTCCTGGACCATTTCAAGTTTGTTTGAAATTTAATAAAATATATTTATATTTAATTTTTTTTATCGAAATTAGATCCGCAGTCGAGTCCCGAGCAAACGCCGGTTCTTTCGAGGAACAGCCCTGCCTACAGCAGCCTGCCGAGGTCCACGGTCCGACCTGCCATCACCTTCACACCTGACAGGCAAACCGCAGAAGCACCTGATTCCGTCAGTCAACCTCTAGACTTGTCGCCAGAAATTATTCTGCAGCAAAAAGAAAAAGAAGGAGAAGAAACAACAGTCGAGTCTTCAAAGGTGATTTTTTATACGTTTTTTTTTACATCTTTTTTTAGATATTATTTACTTATGAATTATATTTCTTTATCTTCCCATTTTAAGTTGTAAATTTTTATTTACATAAAATTAAACATTAATATAGTATTTTATATTCTATTTTTATATTGAAATGGGACATAATTTAATTATTGTAAATATTTATTTTTCTAGAAAAATGAAGTTTGTGGTATTTCAATTATAATTTAGAACTTAACTCTCAAATTTATGATCTGTATGCAATGAAATTTACAGGAAACTGTGCCTACTGCAATCTCGGTGCCTAATTCGCCAGGGCCAAGTCCCACAGCCGGCCGCAAGACTGCTGATTCCGAACCACTTGATCTCAAGAAAATTCTCAACCAGCATGGCTGTAAGAGTAAGTATTTAATTTTTTTATTTTATGATATTTTTATGTTATCTAACTTTTTTTAATTAATATTAACTAAACATCTTTGGCTCCAACAATAAATTCAATCTCAAAGATTTCACTACTTGAATTAATTGCAAATTGACCATTTTGCCAGCAAAGCTTTCTATCAGGTTAAGAGGTTACTTATGCAACCGGCATCTAATATTAATCTCGAGATTAGAGAAAGCGCAGTGACTCCCATTCTCACAATTCAGGACTGTAATACTGACCATATGGCTTGCCGGTTCAATGGGCCATTAATCTAATGACGCCTGCCTGCCTCTACAATAGGCAAAATAAAGCGCTCAAACTAGAGATTTCCATAAATCACACAGCACACCCAAAACAAAATTGCTACGTGACTAAAATGAAATGAAAAAATTAACTGCTCTGAAGAAATAGGAATTTTAAAATATGAATAATTTTGATACTTTTTGCAACTCTAAAAAGAAATAAAATGAACTAAAAATTAATAGATTTTAAATTTGAAACAATTTGAAATTGAACTTTTTTAATTCTCTATAATATTTAAAAATTGGTTAGGGTTTCATAAATAATTTTGCATGTTAATTTTATAAATTTTCTGGATAATTTCATTGTTTTTTTTTTTTTTTTAATATCTTTGTTATTCAATATTATTTATTTTTGAGTAAGAAAACCAAAATGTTTAGTTAAAAGTTACAAAATTATACCTTTCTGTTATTTTATCATGAAATATGTCGATTAGGTTTATTATGCTATCTAATTTTCATTAAAATATTTAAAGTTTTATATTAAAAATTTTTAATTTGTTCAGGTGCGCCTCAAAGCCCTCGTCTGGAGCTGAGTCGAAGGCACATGGGCTGTAGTGAGGACGAAGGTGCGGCCGGTAGTCCCGCGCCGAGTCCGGCAGCCGTGCTGCTCATGGACTACGCGCTGGACGGCAGCAAAATGCAACCTGACTCGGACGACTACAAGCTCGTCTTCATCAGTTCCGACTCAAGCTCCAAAGAGTCCAATTCGGACATTGAGTTTGCGCTGGAGGACTGCGACTGGGACTACTTCGAGTCGACCGCACAGAGGGAGAAAATGGCAACACCGACAGCCTCGGCCGCCACCCCCAAGAGGGAGGAACCACCCTCGCTCACCAGCACGGCGCTGCTCGGAGGCTCATTCGGCGAGGTAGGACAAAAGTTAATTTTAATTACAGTGAGTTCTTTTAAATTTTGATGTTTTGAAATTAATTTTTTTTATGAATCTCATTTAGTTTTGATGTATTAATCTTTTATTTACAATTAAATTGATATTTGAAACATTGCAATGAAAATTGAAAAAAAATCTTTTGAAAAATATATTTTTTACTTCTGAATTCATCATTTATATTTGTTTATTTAAGTTTATTTTTTTTTTAATTTTTTATTTAAATTATATATTTAGATTTAAATTTTAAAGTAAATAATTTAAAGTGTATATAAAATATAATTTTGTGTAACTACATGTAATATAAATATGTTTTTAAATGCAATTTAATTTCAATAATTTTATAACAATTTGATTTTCTATCAAAATTGAACAAATTTACAAGACAAGTTTTTCATGTAAGTTAGATTGTAGGAAAATCATATATATCTGTAATTGTTAAATTTCAGATTTACATCATTATTTCACAAAATGAGGATTTTTTTTGTTCAATGAAATAAATTCTATGAGCTCTATGAGTTTTGAAATTATTAGGATTCAATCAATAGGTAAATTGTGAATGTTTGTGAAACTTAGACGTGAATTGAAAATCCAAATATAATGGCCAAATCAAAATTTGTTGGAATTTTAGTTTTGGAGACCTTTTTTTATTTTTCTCTTTTTATTCTCTCTTTGGTGGAATTATTTATGCGTTGAAACTTATTATTGAATAAATTTTCAATATTCTTTAAGATTTAATTACATTAAAATTATTTCTTTTCTTTTAGTCACCTATATGTAATAACATAAAAAAAGTATGTGAGCTGACTTTCAATAGCATAACAAAAAAAATTTAACTTATGAGTGCAAAACCGATTTTATTATTAGGCTTTTCAATTCGTTACTACAAAATCTATCATTAATAAGTTCCATTTTTAACCCCATAAAAACCTAATTTTAAATAATTGAAACGTTTCATTGATTTTCTATATATTTTTAAATAAAAACCTCGGCAATTTTAATTCTTATCTATAGATAAAAAATAAAAAAAAAGAATAAAAACAAACTCTACACTTTTCAATATAATTTTTTTTCAGATGTACGAGCGACCGGCAGCCGCCCTGGATCGACAGTGGTCGCTTCCGGAACTGATGCGCTTGCAGAGCAGAGCGACACCGAGTCATTCGTGCGAAAACTGCGGATTTGAGCTTTTGCACGGGCTGAGCACCAACTTCGTTCCGATTCCGTACCCAGTGCCCGTGCCGATCGCGGTGCCGGTGCCGTTCTCGGGGTCGGAGGCCGACTTCCTGGAGGCCCTGCGCGTCAAACTGCGGCCGCCGATGGTGCCGCCCTACCTGCACCAGTGGTACCAGAATTTGCTGCGCGATTCCTGGCAAGAGAAGCAGCAGAGCGACCTGCGACCCGTCGCCGTCATGACGCCGTCCTTATCACCCGCCGTTGATAAGCAGACGGACGCGGGCGTCCAGTGCGACATCAGTGAGATGCAGACGAGACAGACGCCCAGAGACCTGCACGACTCGGAGGACGCCCAGTCCGAACACTCGTCCTCCGAAGAAGAAGAAGAGGTTTCGGACGATGAGGAGGGACAGTTTTCGACCGTTTTTGTTGTCAACGCGTCTGACTCCGAGTCGGTCGAGGATGAGGAAGAAGAGGAGGAATCGGAAGTTCCAGATGGGCAGGTGGACGAACTGATCGTCCCGACCGTCCAGTTAAAGAGCGTCCGACAGCTGGACACGGGGGATGATGACGAGGAGTACCACGTCTCCCCGCGCCGACTGTCATGTGATGATGAGGTGTGTGCAGAAGATAAGCCTAATGATAAGGAGGAATCGATTGAAAACACAGAGTCAGAGATAATGGCAAGTTTGAAGGCGGTGGAGGAGAAGTTGGAGTTGCTCGCCGGGCAATTATGTGAGGAGATTGAAGATGTCCCGGAAAATTTGCAACAAGTTGAAATTGAATGTGATGAAAGTGTTGAATCGGAAATTCCAGAAAATAAAAATTTGGATGTTATGGAAAATTCAATGGAAGAATCAGAAATTCTGGAAAACTCGTCTTCAGATTTGGAAATTTTAGAAAAATCATCAGAAGAACTGGAAAATCTCGAAAATTTGCCTGATCAATTAGAAAATTCAGAAAATTCCCCCAAGGATTTGGAAATTGCTGAAATTATATCTGAAGATTTGGAAATTTCTGAAGAATTGAAAATTCTGGAAGATTTGGAAATTCCAAAAGATTCATCCGTAGAAATTTCGGACGTTTTGGATGAGGCCGCGCAATGCATCTCTCGCATAATGGACGAAATAATTAAATTGGAGGCCGTCGCAACTTCCTCTCATTTGATTGAGCTTGCGGCCGCAGGTGTAGAGGGCGACAGTCAAGCGGCAGCGGCGCGTGACCTCGTTCCGGCACCTGAGTGCGAGCCAGGTGGCTCGGCAGAGGGCGCTGGCGGCGCAGCGGTGCCCGAGTCGGCGGAGGACGCGGCCAGTTGTGGCAGCGGAGGCGGCGGCTTCACAAGTTACGTGATGATCACGCAGCAGGGCAAGCCGACGTGCCCCGAACAGGGCGAGCCGGACCCCGACGAAGACGCGGACCCCAAGGTGAACGTGAGTGTGCACAACGAGAAGATTAAAATCAACCACACCACGCAGGAGGAGGAAGACGCGGGCGGCTTCATCACCCTGCACCTGCAGAATGAGGTGCAGATCGTCAGCAACGACAAAACTATGTCACAGGTTGGACAAAATATAAATTATTTTTATTCGCATGAAATTTTAATTTTGATATTTATTTTGAATTATGATTTTATTGATTTTTTAAATAATTTGTTGTTATCCAGATATATTATAAACTTTTTTTTTTAATTTTGAGCTATATTATAAGTTTTAAATCAAATGAAACACCACATAAATAATATATATTTTTAGTATTCCTCATTGGTTTAAAATTGATTAAATAATTAAAATAGCTATAAATGATAAGCACCAATATTAATTTAAAATTGCCTCATTATCAATTTCCAATAACTTGATTGAACTCAAATTTTTTTATGTATTTTCATAAGTGATTTCTGCTTTTTTTAATTCCTTAACTCATTTTAAATAATTTTTAAATATTAATCTGAGTTCTTTTTCTTGTATCAATTTCAGGTGTGTCTAGAAGAAGGGTTGGCTGACGACGATTCGTGGGTGGAAGAGGCGAGCGAGAGTTCCTCAATGGGCGAAGCATCCCTCGAGATCGAGGAGGAAGTGGAAGTGTATCAAGACCGCGAGGAGGAACTGCGCGGCTACCATCGGGCCATCGACTTCACGCTGCACACTATTCTGGAAGAGAGCTGCGAGGAGTCGGACGTCGATGAAGAGGAACGCGGCAAGCGGAAAAAGAAGGAGAAGGAACGCGAGAGCAGGTAAAACACAGTGGCCAGTTTGTTTTGCTCTTTTATTATCCGCATGCTTGCTTCTGGCTCCGGTTTCTTCAAGTGTGGAGAGGAATATAACTGACGGTGCTATAACTAACTAGCGCAGACGCCGTGTGCGTGTAAAAAAAAAATAAAATTCGCGTTGACTGCACAGACGGTCGTAATTTTATAGTTCTTTGGCGCGTCTGGCGATACTGCAGAGATATTAAATTATTACGTGATGCTTGTTTGCTGAGTGATAAAATTGCTCACTGGGCGTAATTATTTTGATTATTTTCGCAGTAGATGATTTTCGATAAAACAAATTTTGCTTCATAATTAAATATTGAAATATTTATATAATTAAAATTTTAAATCAATTTAAAATTATACTTCATTTCCCCCTGTTGTTGCAGGTCTGAGCTGGAAAAGTACTTCATTTATGGTATAACCGGACAGCTGGAGGATCGCGAGGATGACGACTCAGACGATCAGGAAGAACCCTCGCCCCTAGAAAAGTACTTCCTCTCCTCCTTTCAACAAGACTCAGACACCGACGAAAGTGGTAGTGTTGGTTCCGACAGTGAAGGGCGTCCCAGTCCGGAGCAGCGGCGCAAGCGTTTGGTTAGAGCCAGAGGCACGATGCGCCACTCTTTGGAAAGAGACGACGCGTCTGAAGTGTTTGAAGTCAACGACGACTCGACTGAAACCGATTCGTGTGAAAATGGTGGCAAGCGTTCTAAAAAGAAAAAGCACCGTCCCATGGTGTATCACCACGAAGACAACGCTGCCGGAGGAGTGGACATGGACGAGCCGGAAGATGGTGCCAAGACGCCGCAGCCAGAGCTGCCACCTGAACCTCCCCAACCGACCAGGAAACACCACAGTAGAGATTCAGGATTCATTGGCAGTTGTGACGACCTGCTTAAGACTGGACCGTCTGGGAGCAGCAGTTCCAGCAACGAAGAGCAGCCTGCAGAGTTGAAGACGCCAATAGTGTCTCCAGTTCCAAGTCCAGTGTTGCCAGAAGTTCCTCCATTGGTGCCAGGTCCACCCAGGGCCAACAATAGTTTGGCCAGGAAGGATAGTTTCAACAACTGGAGTTCAGACGAAGAGACTAATTTGATGATGTCTAAAATGAGAGCTTTGTTCAAGACGATGGTCAACGGCGGAAAAAGCAGCGCCCCTCCTGCAGTGGTGGCCAACGGGCCACCCAACAATAATAACAATGCCAAGAGTGCTGAGTCTCCGAGAAAACCACCGCAGCTGGTGTACTTTGAGAGTGAGTTGACGAGGTTGATGAAGACTGTGCCTGGCATCAAGGATGAGCAGGTGAAGGAGATTGTTGAGTACCTGAGTTCCGAGGACACTTGGTCTGATTCCTATGACTCCTCCGACTACACCAGCAGTGACCTGGAAGGACCCCGAAGTGAACTTCAACAGCAGATTTCCGCCAGTTGTCAGGAAATCATCCAGAACTTTGATCCAATGCAGGAAGAAGAGAAGGTGGAGCCCTCTGGTGATGGACTGGTGTACCAACGCCTGGTCAAATCGCTAAGCAAGATGTCCTCCGAATCTCCGAACAACAATTCACCACCCCTGATGGCCAAGGTCATGCATCACATCGGCAGCCGCCTGGTTGCCCTGATGCACGAGGTGAGTGCCGCGAGTGATCTTCAGGAGGCCCCTCCCAGTCCCAAGCCCCGCTTCCGAAAATTGCACCGGCAACAGTTTTCCCCCGCCTCCTCCAGCCTGGACGAGTCTGACAGTCCAGGTGGCTCAGACACTGAAAGTCGTGTCCGTCGCCATCCCAGTCTTCCTCGCTCCAAGTCACACGACCTTGGGCAGTGGGAGCACCTTTTGCAGGAACGGGGCGTTCCTCGGGAGTCTCTCCGGTCCTCTAGTTCTGGAGTATCCGACCTTGAACGCGAGGACTACGAACGGTTCAGCTGGAGAGGAAGTTTCGAGTCGGCCCTGGCTGCCGATTCCCGAAGCAAACTATCCTTTGAAGCCAAGAGAAGATCGACGGGGTCAGGGTCAGCAAGTGACCTCTTCTCAAGCAACGACCAACTAGACAACCGGGGTCGCGTTCGAAGCTGCGGTTCGATCGGCAGCAGGGCGTCCTTACCTGGAAGGGGTGGCGCTCGCCTCTCCTCCAGCGGCGGTGACCTTTTGACCGCGGCCGAGTCGGAGTTGTTGGACGCCCGGAGAAGGGGAAGCGTTCCGGACGCTACTCCTCGCTCCACCACCCTCCCCCGGTCAAGCCCTGCCGCCAGCGCCAGCACAAACTCCCTCCCGAGACTGCCCCTGAGCGCGAGTCCCGTCGTCGCCGCCATCCACAAGTCGTACAGCGCCCAATTGCACGCCCAGCAACACTCGCCCGTCCACCACACGCACCACCACCACTTCCTGCAGAACGTCAAGTCGGCGCGCTACAGACCGCCCAACTTCCGACCGCCTCCGCTAGGCCCGCCGAAGAGGACAGTTTCTGCGCCAGGGTTGCACCACGCCACACGACGAAACGAGAGGAGGAGCCGACCACTGTCAGGGGGTGAGTACCTTTTTCTTTTATTCATAAATTATTAAAAAAAGTATATTTCGAGTGCTTCAGGTGATAATTATTTATTTCCAAATTCCAGTAAAGATTTTTGAAAATTTTTAGGACTAATTTTTTAACTAGGAATATTTTAAAACACTTCATTAATCAAAACATTACTGATTTATAATATGAGATAAGTATGAAGAATAATTTTTATCAACAAAGAAATGGAAAAAGTTCAAAATTAAATTTGCAACCTTGGAACTCATTGTTTTCAAAGACAGTCTAATCTCAACCACAAACATAATATTATCTTTATCAAAACTTTTTCATTCACGGCCTCCTCATTTCCCAACATTAACTTTGCCTCTTTTGACAATTTTATCGCGGGCGAAACAAACATTTTGTCACAGCTCTAGTGACATCAAAACTCTCATGCTCGATCGAAAAATTGCTCGAGCTCAAAACGGGTGCTCCCAATTTATGCCACTACAACCTTAGCACACTTTCTGAACACCGAGGCAAAGGGCGCGTGTATGTGTGCATGTGTTTATCACAATAAATTGAGAGAGCAGAGATATGCATGCCGCCGTTCATGTGAGAAATCGAGAGCCGCCGTTCAACTTTCCCTTCGCATTGAATGAGCAGAAAAATGAGAACTTGTATATCGACACATATGCAACACTCGCTCTGCAACTCTTGAATTGTGTCTCTTGGCTATGTCAATATACATACAAACAGACTTATTATGCAACTGAATAATTTATTTTGGAACTATATTTATATTTTTCCGTTATAAATATATTAATTCAGGAAATTTAGTGCAGGAAAAATTTTGTTCTTTTGAAAATTCTTTAAATTTCAAATATTAGATATTTAAAATTAATTTTATGGCTGACATATTTTATTGAATAATTACAAATAAAATATTTGAATTCTAATGCATTTTATGTTCTATATTTAATTGGAAAAATTCATTATTAAAGAATAATTTTTTATTTCAATTTTTTGTAATTTTATACATGCAAAAAGTACATTTATGTTTTTCGTCGGACGTAATTTCCGATTCAAATTTTCTAAAATACCGAACTTCCACTTATGCAACCGTGTTAATTGTCAATCAAATCGCGAGCAAGCGTTTTAAAGTCAACGCGTGTGGTGGGGCGAAAGGTGTCAATTAGCCACATGTCGCCGCATACGGTTCTGCTCGATTCGGTTACAGCTCGCGAACAATCTTTCTTTTTTTCTTTCACAATTTGCGGAGGCGCCCCGAGGTCGCCGCGCATTAATCAGGTTGCAGATTAATCATCTTTGGAATGAAAACTCTAATTAATGACAGCGACGAGAGAATTTGCCCCAAGTCGTACCTTGAACTTTTGCAAACAAATTTCGAGTGGAGAAAAGAAATTGGCATAGGCCTTGAAGGGAAAATGCAATCTCAAGTGATCTAATTAAGATAATTCGTTGAATTCGATTATGGCTTGATTGGCAGGCAGATTTCTAACGAGTCATATGAATTAAATTAAAAGAAACGTGTCTTCAATAAATTAAATAACATTTTAGGCTTATTAAATATTTCTTTTTGCAAATATTTTGAATTTTATATTGTTTAAATGGTTTAAATGATAAAAATTATTCATGTTTGATTATTTGCAAAAAAAGTTTCATTAATTGAAGTAAATTTCAACTTTTACCAAAAACGTCTTACTATTTTTTTTTTAAACTCCTGGCGAGCAGTGTAGCTCTTTTTATGCTCACAGCTGAGAACCAAGTGGCAAAACAGGAAGTGCAGGCGAAAACGGTCGAAAGAGAGCCATGAAAATAAAACTCTTTTCTTATACACGTGTGCGGTTCGCTGAGAGGCAACAGCAGCAGGCAAGGAAGAATGTCCTTCCTTTTCATTCACACCAGAGTGCACGCGAAAAACGAATCGTTCCTCATTCCGCACCTTTTTTTGCCAAGTTATACAATCGTGATTCATCGCAAATTTATTAACAAGTTGCGATGTTATTAAATTCATAATTCGGCGCCAACCGGATTTCGGCTTTGTTGAGCTGCAAAAAATCTTCCTTTTTTTGCTCTTCTGTTTTCTGTAACTTTTATTTCTTTCCGAATTAGAATTCAATATTTTCAGTTTCGTTTTTTTTTTTTTTTTTTTTATCTATCTAATTAAAATTCATTACATTCAAAGCCTGCTTCATTTGAGAGGCAAACAAAACGTCCCGTTGGCTCAGCTGGGGATTTAAAAGGCTTCTCGTCGGGATTAAAGGGTCTTGTTTAGTGAGCAGGTGACTCACAGTGGAAGACAAAATCATGACGTAAGCAACACACTCGATAGTCAAGTGACTGCACCCTACCCATATAACACGGAACAACTTTGCTTACGTGCCCAGCAAGAAAGAAAATCACAGTAAAAATTGTCATAGGATACAGTCACGGGCCTAACAATAAAATTTTTATTTTGAGAGCGAATAGAAATTTTAAAAAAAAAATCAAAATAGACAAAACTAATAATTGGAAATTTTTTGTTTCAAATGTTTGGTTTATAAAAGTTCCTTGTTTAAATTTAAAAAATAAAAATCAATTTTCCATTCATTCTTCATTAATTTTTAAGCCAAAAAATTTAATTATTATTTTTTTCAATATCGTTTCTTCAATTATATATTTAGTATTATTTATTTTGTATTTTATTATATACTTATTTATTTTAAAAAATGCTTCCAAAATCTTTGCTACTTTGAATTTTTCCAACAAAGATTTTTGCACTATTTGAGAGGCCCGTCTAAATAGGAGGTTCTGCTGGTCGAGTTCAGGGCTAAAGTTGCGAGAGATTTTAATTCCACGCGGCTGCACCAATGCGCTGGCTGGCAAAGAGAGAAATCACGCCGCTTGACTCAGCAGACGTTATTATTTCATAACGTTGCTAGCTGCTCATGAATAAGCTTTTGAAAATTTAAATTAAATATATATATTCAGCCGCGGCAGTTTTTACATAATGTTCGTGCCTGCAGTTGGAAAAAAACAACACGCAGGGTTGAGTGGCCTATGAGCAAATAATTACTGCATTCTTTGCATAGACCTCGCTAAATTATTCAACAAGCCAAGTTATATTCACTTGAATTTGTTCCCATGCAGCTGAAAATAACACTAATGTAATGACAACTCAAGGCAACACTTTTTTGCATAATAGAGATTTTATTTTCTTTTTATGACTTTTGTTGAAAAAATTATATTAAGAATTTTGCTTCATTTTTTTCTATTTTTCTGAATTATTAGTCTCAATGAGGGACTTTTATTTGTTATATAATGTTTTATTTTATACCTGGATAGTAAAATTTTCAAATTTTGTATGAAATAAATGCATTTTTCCGTTATTTTTCCGTTTGCTCTCATATAAAAAGTGATATAAAAATGATATGAGTAAAAAATGAATTTTTAATATTAATTATTCTTTTTTTTAATTTTGTTTTTATTTAAATAAAAATGTATGAAGTCTGCAAAATTGTAAGAAATTTGTAAAACTTGCAGCACATGAAAGAGGCTAAACATTGTTATCGTAAACTACTATTTAATTAATATGTATTTTAAATATATTGAGCAATACTGATGTGAGAGTAGTTAATATAATATTATACAAATTTTGATGTAACAAAGTTAAATTATCCTTTTAGCAATTCCAATTATATTAAATAAAATCATGAATTCCTCCTTGGATCGGGAACCTGTTTGGTGAAAAAGCGTTGTAATAAATATCCGATTTTTAGCATTTCTCAGGATTTTCAAAATCAGGGAAATTAATTATTTAGCTGAAAATATTTTAGTTGAACTTAACAAAATACATCTTCTTCCTTCTTTTCTCTCACAATCAGGCCTAAATATACAGAAAGGTTCACTTGAGCAAATGACTCACTTCTTACTTACGTTCATTGTTTTCATTTGTCAAAACAAACAAGGAAGCGTTGAAAAGTCGCTGCAAACAAAAATAACGCAAAATTCTGCGGCCGCTCTGAAAATAAGTGGATACAAAAATTCAAGGCCAGAAGCATCCGTGGAAAGAAAGCGAATCTGCAAAGGTGGTTGCCCTTGGGGATCGGGTTGGTCCGACCGAACGTAGGAGGAAGTGGCCATTCCATATTCGCTGCTTTACAAACGTATATTATAAATTGCATATGTATAAATATACAAAGGTGGTTTTTCTTTCTATCTGTGTATTTGGAGTACTTGTTGTTGAACGGAGGTGTGTTGATTCTGTAAATGGAGACTCGCTCTTCGCTGCGGCAATAAATAAGGTGGGAAATAATGCGGATTTAATGGAGCTGCGATTGCCGCGAAAAAAGCAATAAAGGTGTAAATTTTCTGATTGCCCGCTCCTTTCGGGTCGAAGGGGAGCGGCCAAGGACAGACTAATTTAATACAAATTCCTGCAAATAAACACAGATTTGCCAAAAAGCAACAAATTCACTCATTGTTTGTCAGATTTATTCGTAAAAATGAAATTAATTCAACAGGAAATTTAATAAATTCTTTAATGTTTACATTTTCTTAAGAGTTTAGAACTGAACTTCACTAAAATTAATTGCTTTGAATTATTTTATTAAAAAAACTAAGTTCGTAATTTTATAAAATGAAAAAAATTAGACTTTTTTTAATTAATCTGAACAAATCTGTTTTATTTTTTGCTATTCTCAGGGAAACCTTGCGTTAAAATCTCCGGCAGTTTTTCTTAAACGGTCTTCTTTTGCAATAACAATTATTTCATTTCTTAATAAGCTGCGCCGGGAGCCAAACAAGCAAAATCATAGCGAACTTTCATTTCTCGGCAACATCACACGCGTGCATAATTCTCTCCAGAGGCGCAAAGGTGAGAGATGCTAACACGTTTATCGCACAGCTGACTGGCCAGACAATCGATCGGCTTTCACGGTGCAGCCGCGAGTTGCGTTTTTCGTTTCGGAAGCGGTAAATTGTGGAAAGCCTTCTTTTTGTCCATATGTGCGACGCATACTTGCGGT